ACCCCCTCACATACCTGTATGTCGCCAACAGGTCCCCTCTGAGTCTCCTCTTCTCCAGGCTGAAGAGACCCAGTTCCCTCAGTCTCACCTCATACGGCATCCCCTGCAAACCGGCCACCAACCTTGTAGCCCTACGCTGCACTGACTCTAACCTGGCTATATCCTTCCTGTAATGAGGGGCCCAAAACTGAGCACAATACTCCAGTTGCGGGCACACCAGAGTCGTGTAGAGTGGTAGTAATACCTCTCTTGATTTAGAAGCCACACTTCTGGCTATGCAACCAGGGGTGGTGTTCGCCCTCTTGGCCACCGCATCACACGGCTGACTCATGTTCAGCCTGCAGTCAACCAGCACCCCGAGGTCCCTTTCACAAGTGCTGCTCTCCAGCCACTTGTCCCCTGACCTGTACTTATGACACCCATTCCTATGCCCCAAGTGAGAGACCTTGCACTTATCCACATTGAACGTCAACCTGTTGTTTCCTGCCCACTTCCATAGTCTGTCCAGATCCTTTTGGAGCTGGAGTACCTGCTCCTCAGTTATGGCCACTGCTCCAGTTTTAGTATTGTCTGCGAATTTGATCAGCAGACTGTTCACCCCTTCTTCCATGTCGTTAATGAAAAGATTAAACAGGATCGGCCCCAGGACAGAGCCTTACTCCAAAGAAAGAATGGGTAAGAATGTGGGTTCCATTTGGATTTGCTAAGGACTTTCCCAAAACTGCAACTTTCTCCTTCTTGGGGACCAAAAGATTTTTCTGAAATTCCAGTGTGGGAGAAACCAAGACTGGCAGATTGCACCTTCCAGGCTCACTCTGGAAATCTTGTTTTGCATCCCTGTGTATGCAAGCACATTATGTTTGGGTTGCCAGTTCTTTTTCTGAAAATTCCGTATCTGCAGAATTTGGCCAACGCAGTACATTTTCAAGAGAATTTCACAATTTGTTTATTTATTTGCATATATTTATAGACTGCCTATGCTTGCTGAGGCCTTCCTTAGTGACTTTGTACTAAAACCCACAAAGTTCTGACCTTCAGGTGAATGAATGTACGCTAACCCTAACAAACTCCTAAAGATGTTGAGAATGAGTTACTCTTTGCCACCTTCCCACAGCTCTCTGGCACATACTTTTGCCAGACTTTTCCTGCATCACCTCGCAATTGCCTTATTGTAGATCTTTCTACCCACATTAATGACCAGGGTGGAGAACCTTCTTTCCATCAGGAGCTGCATTCCACTGAGGGTAATTTGTGGTGGGTGGCTGTACCACTGAGGCCAGAAGGTGGTGCGGGAGGGCTACTCCCTTCTGCTTTCTCCCTGGCACCTACGACTCCCTCCAACTCTGTGATTCTGTGTCTAGGTTCAGGGTTGTGTTCATCAAATCCGTGAAGGGAGGGGCCAAGCTTTGACTGGTTTGTGCTCGCAACCATGCAAGTGTCTCTGTTCTGTCCTTTCTACAGTATTCAATGCTTGTGCAATTTAGTGCTTCCACACAGACACATAGTTATGACCATAATTCTCACAAGGACCTAGAACAGTTCTGGGCAGCTTATAGCTTTCCAGCTGTTCTGGCCTATGACTCCTATCAACCATAGTCAGTGTAGCCAGTGGGGAGGCATGCTGGGAATGAGAAACCACACGTCTGGGCGACCACGCATTGGCCATGCCGGACCATCGGTTCCAATGAATCCGACATGTTTCCGCTGCATGACCGCCAAAGATTCAAGTAATGCTAATTGTGGTTTGTGCTGAACAGCAGCTACAAAACCTTCTTCCAGACTGGACTTCTAGTGCATTTCTACCCAGTATCTGAAATTTTTGTTTTCGACTGATAACTTCTACCTAATCCATTTGTATGCATTTGGCTGATCTGGTACCAAACAATAGAACATAAAATTAGTTCCAGCAATACAACATAAATTAGCTCAGCTATAGCCACTGATAATTAACACATCTGACATGGTTATGCTCATAAGGTTTCCTGTTCTATAGCCAAAGCCAAGCCAAGCCAAGCCAAACAAAAAGTCCCAAGTCCTCATTGCCAGATTGAGGTAAAACATCAGTGAGAAATTTGCCTTCTCCAACATTTAGGAAAAATGGTAACAAAAGTATTGCATTGTTGCTTTGCTATTAATATTATTATTACTATTAATCCTCTACTGTCCAATAACTTCAGCTCTCTGGGCAGTTTAGAAGAGCACATCAAATGTACCGTATTTTTCCATCTATAAGACGCCCCCATGTATAGGATGCCCCCCTTTTTCTTACCAATCTCTGTGAGCAAGCTGCTGCTTCATCACATGTGAGCATGCCCACCACCTCCCCACCTCCCTGTGCGCGCGCCTGTGATTGCCAGTCTCCCCCCTGAGTGCACCTGCGATCACACCAGTCTCCCCCCTGAGCGCTCCCGCGATCGCGCCAGTCTCCCCCACCCCAAGCAGGCCTGTGCCTGCCGCTGCCACCGCCTTTCAACTGGCCCCCTGTTGAAAAAGTTGAGGACCCCTGGGCGCTCTCCGCAGCATCAGCTGACGTCAGTTACATGAGGCTCGTGACTGGAGGAAACCTATTAGCTCGTCTCTGCAATCAAAAGTTTCACTTGTGAGGCTAGTTTGCAGAGATAAGGTATCAGCAGTTCTGCAACTCTGGTTTTCCTCTCGGCCCCCCATGTATAAGATGCCCCTCAATTTTTAGGTAAATATTTTTAAGAAAAAGTATTGTCTTATGCACGGAAAAACATGGTAATACAAAAACAGATAATAATAAAAGGATCACACAAATTACGGTACAACATTTAAAAGCCAATGTAAAACCAAATTTAGAAAGCTATAACATCAACACAAATTAATTCACAATTGCTGGGAAGCAATTGACATAATGCACTGAAGTTACATTAAAGCTAGTTTAGTATGTCCTAGCCTGTCCGAGACTGTAGGACAAAGGGTTTTGCACAGCAGATCTTTGCAAAAATGGCAATAGATTCCCAGCTGCTGGGAAGAGGAGCCTCTTGCAAAACATTCCTGAAAAAGCATTGCTAAATGCATCTGCATGTTGAAGATAACCTTTGAATCAGCTGATCGGGAGAGAGTCAAATGCAGCATGGAGCTACCACTCCAGCGTGAAAAAGAGGCTGTTAGGAAAGATCCTCCTCCTCCTCCTGCTTATTTTATTATAAAGCTATTCTTGGCCCATTAATTGCTTGTGGAATGTCCTCTTTTTAGAAGGGTTCACTTCAAGCAATGCCTAAGCAGCCTCTACGGAGGGTTAGATGGGGTGACTTCGGGCCAGTCACGGACTCTCAGCCCAACCTACCTCAGAGGGTTGTTGTGGGGATAAGATGGAGAGCAGCAGGTGGAGAATGATATAAGTCTCCTGGAGCTCCTGAAAGAAAAAAGGCAGAATATTAATCTAATAAACAAACCAACCAACCTCTGGCTAGGAAGCTGGCAATTTTGGGGGTGGGATTCTTATTCAGCAGCACCTGAAAGGGACCTCAGGACTGATGGACCTTTTGCTTTGGGCTGCCCTGATGTTTCAGATGCTTTCTGGTTGTTTCTAAGATGCATTCCCCCCCGCCCCCAATTTTTAAGTTCTTGAAATCCTAAAGTCTGCAGTGAATGGTGTCCAATTACTGCCTTTGCTTTTCCTTTAAATTAACAATGTTATCACTTATCAGGTTTCCCTCTAGGTCCAGGTACATTCCATTACCACAGCAGGAATGTTCCACTCCTACACACCAGGCAGTAAGTCTGTGTAAATATGATTAGAAAAACACAGCAAGTCTTATGTCATCCTGAACATGTTTCCCCATCCACAGATCTCTCTGTACCCTCAGTTATTTCCCAATCTTCCTGCATTGTCTCAGCTACCTTTTCTCATCTCTTGGATCTCTACAGCCACATCCAGGGCTGTTCCCAAGATATTTTGCTGCTGGAAGCAGCAGCAAAGGAAAACATTGCCTCTCTCCCTTCAGCTCTTAAATCTAGTCAAGTCATGTTGGTCCCTGAAGCAGAAAAGACTAGAACCTTTTCCCTTCCTGGGCAGCGAACGTCCAATAGATACATTAAACAATGAATAACGCCTGGTTTTTCAAGATGTCCAAAATCCCATGTCCAAAATCCCATGAGGTATTTGTCTCAGACTCTAAAATGGGTGCGTGTGTTTTAAGGACAGCCAGATGGATAAGAAAAGATGTATGAATGGGGAAGAGGAGGACTTCTGATTGCTGGAAAAAACCTCAGGCAGAAATGGTTGAGGAAACAGGAGGAGAATTAGCACGTGGGCAAAAACCCAGCTAGTTCTGGTGGATCAAATGCAGCAAAAGTCATCAGGGATCCCATAGCTTTGTTTCAGCAAGTGGCATTTCTCACTGATCACTGAAAAGCAGCATCTTCCAAAATAGCTTTCTGCACAGAGGTCTGATGGACCTCATCCAAGAAGCTGCAGCTGGACTTTGCAAGAGCTGTGCAGGGCTGTCCTGGAGAGGACACTGTGGATGGCTTTCGTTCACCAGTTCACCAAAGGTTGGAGATGACTTGATGGTACATTGTGGCAACAGTGGTTTCCTGTAACAGAATAGGAGAGCTGGGAGGGGCCGTGAAGGCCATTGAGTCCGACCCGCTACTGTTGCAGGACACCATGTTACACATCACATGAACATTTGCTCTTCCCCAGGAGAGTTGTGAGTCTTTCCGCTGGCATGAGGTCTTGTGGGTTTTGAACACCAAGTAACAAGGAAGTGGAAAGAAGTAACCAATTTTTTTGTAAGCTGGTGCCTTTTGCCATGCAGTTTGCTAGGCTGCTGGGGGAGCGAGTCCGTGGAATGTTTTGCAATGCACGAAGGACTGTCTGGTCTCTCCGACAGAGGGCAAAGGCTGTCCCTTTGGAAGCTTCTCTCCACAAGTGGAGGGTGGTGAAAGTGAGCACAGAGGAGGCAGGGCTTCCCCTTCCAGGTTTGTTCTACCTGGAACCAGGGCAACTGTCTACACAGAGTTAGGCTAAGCCATTTTATACTGGGACGGGTGGATGAGTGCATTGCCCTTCACAAGGATGGGCTCATCCATAAGTCCCCTCTGATCCACTTCCTTTATCAGCCTGCTTTTAAAAAAGAACCGTGCAAATGTTTGTATCACCATCAGCAGCCACTGCCTTATTTGCTATAAAGCCATTCTGGTAGCATTTAGCAGTTTCATCTGAATGATACTTTTCCCTCTCTTGCAGGGCTCAGTTTTGTATGCATCTTAATCTCAAATCCATACATTTCTACAATCTTAGTCCTTGTTTTGAGCTGAGAACAATATCCAACATTTGGTAACGCACGAACATTGTAAGAGAATTGGGTTCTGACCTCTGCATTCACCCCCTCTGGATGAATTAAAATGAAGAGAGGCCAAAATCTTTTGGCATATCCCTAAAGCCTTTGCATCTGACTCTGTGTCTGTTCCCCAAATATACTTGGATACATTTGATGATGATGATGATGCATTATTTACTGCCCTTCCCTCTCATGGCTATCTTTACTCATAAACCTTGGTTTGTCTTTTCCTGTTCCCACAGGGCTAATACAATTGCACCAAGAAAAACGTCTCTGTGACACAACCATTGTGGCGGGGGGTGAGCAATTTCCTTGTCACAGGTAAGGTGCACTGGGATCTCTGCACCATACTGACTAGAACCTTTGGAGCCTATTCTTATTCTCTCTTACTGGACAGAAACAAGGAGCACCCATCGCCTGTACACAGTGGGATTTAAGGGGTAGACAGATGGCAGAAGGAACCTTGTCTGATTGGGGCATCAAGATGTTGTGATCTTGTTTGGCACCTGGGGCCTTCCTCCAAAGACCGCTTTGCTGCACCTTCTCTGTGGGAGCCCCTAAATTCATGAATGATTTCCCTACTGAGGCCCGCCTGGCACCAAAGTGCTGGCTTTGTGGTGCCAGGTCAAGACCGCCTTCTTTGCTGAGTTGCTGCAATGAGCACAGGTTGTGGGCGGCTCATCGCTTGTCGTTTGCTGCTACAATTGGTTGCTTTTAGCAAGCCTAGCGGTATGGACTTGGCGGTTATAAACTGGTTTGAATCATAGTAGCATTTTATGACAGTTTTGCTGTTATTTACATCGGGTGCCACAAAGGTGTTCAAGCTGCCGTTCGCTGCCCAAAGAGCTTTCGCTGTTGCGTCTGCCTTTTGGTGGGGGCAGCAGCTTTCTTTGGATGGGCTGTTCATTTTTTTATTTAAAGTTTTTTAAATTCTGTCCCATTACTAAAAGTCTCTGGATGGCTTACAAAGAGCAAAAAACCAAAGAACAAAGAACCCATAACAACAACAACACACAACACACTGCATCCGATAAATGATGATTAAAAACAAGGATAAAACCAATTCACTGTTAAAATATTGGGAAAATAGAAAGGTCTTTGCCTGACACTGAAAAAAATAAAGCGATGGTGCCAGGCGAACCTCCCTGGGGAGCGTGTTCCACAGTTGGGGTGCCACTGCTGAAAAGGCCCTTCTCCGAGTAGCTACCCTCCTGATCGCCTTCAAGGAGGACTCCCAGAGAAGGGCCTTTGCCTCAGATCTCAAGGGTGGGCAGGGACACAGGGAAGAAGGGGCTCCTTCAGGTATCCAGGACCCAGGCCATCTAGGGCCTTATAGGTCATCAAAAAGCTAAAGGTTTCCCCATGACATTAAAGTCCAGTCATGCCTGACCCTTGGGGGCGGTGCTCATCCCCGTTTCCTGGCCGAGGGAGCCAGTGTTTGTCTGCAGACGGTCTCCGTGGTCGTGTGGCCGGCATGACTAAACACCAAGGTGCATGGAATGCTGTTACCTTCCCACCAAAGTGGTACCTTTTTATCTACTTGCATTTGCATGCTTTCAAACTGCATGGGAGCTCACCCTGTTTGCGGATTTGAACTATCGACGTTTCGATCAACCAGCCCCGCAGCTCAGCAGTTTAATCCACTGCCCCACCGCATCCCTTTTCTTACCAGAACCTTAAGTTGGGCCCGGACTTCAATTGGCAACCCATGTAACTGATAGAGGACCAGCATTATATGTGAGCACCTGCCAGTCCCTGTTAATAACCTGGCAGCTCTACTCTGGACCAATTGAAGTATCTGGACCGTCTTCAAGGGCAGCCCCATGTACAGCGCATTGCAATAGTCCAAACGGGAGGATGGACACCTTTCATCCTATTTTCTCACCCAACTATTTGGGTGTACACCCATCCTATTTTCTCACCCAACTATTTTCTCACCCAATGGCTGTGGGGGTTGGGGTCTCTTTAGCACTTTTTCTGGAACCCCATTTTAAACCCTTCTCTCCCCCTTTGCCTCTGATCCCAGGCTGGGAACGCCCATGTGGGGAGAACTGCCTGGCAGATGCTGAGACAATTTGCTTGCCTTCCTGAAATTACGATCCTTCCTGTTGAAAGAGCAACCCAAACCAAAACAGCACATACGTGGATGGGGACTACCCCAGGAATTAATTCCCCAGCAGGGCCCCATGTACCAGTAATGACTTTCTCCCTCTGTTGGCCAGGATGCTGCTCGCAGCCATCAACCCGTACTTCCGAGCCATGTTCTCCAACGTCTTTCGCGAGTCCCAGGATGGCGAGGTTCTGCTGCAAGACATGGACCCATCCATTGTCCAAGCCCTGTTGCAATATTTCTACACAGAGGAAATCTCTGTCGTTCCAGAGATGGCCCAAGACCTGTTTGTGGCAGCCAGCCGGCTCCAGATCATCACTCTGCTAGAGAGCTGCTCCAGGTAACTATGGAGGATAGGTTTGTGCGGCTTTCCATGAGCTCTCCCAGTCTGCATCTGGTCTTCTGCTGCTCAGGTGTGCCCTCTCTGGTGCTCCTGAGCAATGTCAGCAAGATGTGGAAGGCTATTTTTCTGTGTTCTTCTGGACTGGGTCTGTTTTTCTTACCTTCTATCTTTTTTTAGTGTTTTTGTCTCTCTCTCTCTTCCCACCATCCTCCTCTCTTCTGTATTCCCACTCTGTGTTCAGAGCCAACGCATGTGTGCAATAGGGGGAAGATCTGGACGCGCAGTCGAAGGGAGCTGTTACAATTTGGCGCGTGTGCCGGCTCTCTGCTAGTCTCTGAAACTGAAAGAGTGTCAGAGAACGCCTGTGCTGGCTCAGAGCTTTCTGACTCTTTCAGAGATCATTTTGTCTGAGCAAGTTGAAAAGCTCTGAGGCGGGCTGGCTAAATGACCATGGCAGGCCGTAGTTTGAGGACCCCTGCCTTAGACAGTAGGAAGCAGCGGTGGGAAATCTGAACTCAAGAGCAAGGCAGAGCCCTAGAGATAACAAGGTCATGACTGACATAATTCAGGTGTGTGCCCCAAGTCTAAAGTGAGGACTAGAAACATGCGCAGAGGCAATAGATCAAATTTGTGACCTTATCCACAGGTTATACATTAAGGATCAACCCCACACCCGCTTAGTTGGGAATAAACCCCACAGAACTCAGCAGGACTTACCTTTAAGTTGAGAAGCACAGGCTTGTGTTGCAAGACACAACACACACACGTGTGTAGCACATGATGCAGGAATTAAACCTTTGCAAAAGGGCGATGCATTTCCCTATTTCTGACCTAGAATAGAAACAGACTAGAAATGAATTAGGGAGAGAACGCTACTGACATTCAATGTTCTAGATTTTTTGATTGCTTTCCATTAGCCTCATGCAAGTGAAAGGTTTAATACCAAAAATAAGAATTAAGTAGGTTGGGCCTTCTCTTTATAACGTCTCCATAGACAGACCTGTCCTCTCCCTGTGGAAGCTGAAATCAGGACATCTGGGCAACCAACCTCTGCCTTCTGCCATGAGCAGGGCCCTTCCTCCTCCTACTTCCACTCCAGCAGCATCGGATGAAGACAGAGAAGCACAATCCCTGCATTTCAGTTCACATAGTGGCATAAAACAAAGTCATGTCCACCAGGAGGGCAGGAGCAGAATCTGCCCGTGTGGAGAGTCGAATCCAAACTAAAACTTCCCCTTCTTCCCTCCCTATCAGAAAAGCTTCTGACTCCAACTTCAGGGGGGACTAGATGAGGACTAGATGGTAGAAACATTCTGTCCTGGGCCCACTAGTTTCACCTGTCATCTCCTGACTAGGTCAAGGGAGTCCTCCACATTGCCCTGAAGCATCTCCTTCCTTTTCCCAGGGTGGGCTGGTTCTCATGCACTGCCGGAAAATCCTTGGATAGCCATGAAAGTGCTGAGCCTTCTGTGGCTCCACCTCCTCCTTGGAATGGGATGAATCTTTCCTAGCAGACTGAAACATGCAAGAGCCCCGTAGGAGCTGGAACACACGAGTCCAGCCAATGACCCAATATCCTAACGAAGGAGTCTTTTCCTACTCATGGTCTTCTGCTTTAGAGTTAAAATGGAAAAGAATGCACTATTTTGGACCAGGCGTCATCGTTTGTGCTGGTCTTTGCCAGAATCTGGGATGGGGACAGAATATTTGGGAGGGCATTCTTTCAGAAGGTCCCCAAAGGTTGGAGACGACTCGATGGCCCATGGCAACAAATGATGCGAGAGCATGGAACTATCAGCAGGCTCCCTGCATGATGATTTGCCTTCAGCTGGTATCCTGAGGTGCATCAGGGTGGCTTACGTTCTCTAAGAGGTATCCTGTTTCCGTTTCCTCCCTCCCCCAGATACCTCCTCGATCATCTTTCCCTGGACAACTGCCTCAGGCTCTACGAACTGGGCTACGCACACAGTGACCCGGCCCTGTTCCAGGAAGCCAAGAGTCTGGTCAACCTGCACTTCAAGCGCCTCTCCCAGGAGGACCAGAGCTTCCTCGACCTGAACCCCAGCACCCTGGCCAGCATTATCTCCTTGGACAGCCTGGCCGTCTCCTCGGAGCTGGTGGTCTACCGTGCCGTGTGGCGCTGGGTGATGGCGCAGAGCACCATCCGGTTCCCCTTCCTCGGGCAGCTGCTCTCCTGCGTGCGCCTCCCGCTGCTGACCCAGGAGGAGCTGAGGCAAGTCCAGTGCGAGATGACCCGCTGCAAGGACCTGCGCCTGCGCTGGAGGCGCCTCAACCGCCAGCAGAGGCTGCAGGAGAGCGGCGGGCTGAGGCGGGGCATGTACACGCCCTGTATCGTGTGCGTGGACCTCTTCAACATGGAGGGCCCGGAGCTGAAGACGAAGGACTTCCAGGTGGGCTGTTACGACCCCCAAACCGAAACGTGGGAGAAGCTGCCGCTGCTGAAGTGCCTGTACTGTGCGCGCTGCGTGGCCGTGGGGGACAAGCTGTACGTCGCAGGGGGCGTGCACACGGACGACACGTACTCGGAGACGCTGCACGAGTACAGCCCCTTGCGGGGCCGCTGGACCCAGCTGCCCTCCATGTCTGTGGCCCGGGCCTCCCACGGCCTCTTGGCCTGCCACCAGAAGCTCTTTGCCGTGGGAGGCTGGTGCAAGTACGAGCACTACCTGGACACGGCGGAGAGCTTTGACCTGGCCGAGCGGTTCTGGGCTCCGGTGGCCCCGATGCCCCTTGCCCTCAGCCACTTTGCCTCTGCGGTGCTGAAGAACAAGCTGTACCTGGTCGGGGGCGTCACGGACTCGGTGGGATCCTGGTACGCCTCCCGCAAGGTCCTGATCTATGACGTCAGCTCCGACCTGTGGAGCCAGGTGTTCCTAGACAACGAGATCTACTGGTCCGGGGCCGTGGCGATGAACAACGGGATCTATGTGATCGGAGGCTACTTCCGGAGCCGAACGAGGCACCACAATGAGCGGTGGCCCGACTCGGGCAATATGCACTGCACCCGGAAGTGCTTTTTCCTGGGGGAGGACGGCAAGATGGATAAGAGCGTCTCGGTGCCCAAGCTGCCAATCGAGCTGGCCGGAGCCGCCGTGGTGCGCTGGAAGCACCGGATCTACGTGCTGGGTGGAGAAAATACCTATTTGTATAATAACCTGGAAGGAGAGAATGAAGAAGAGTATTACAACACCGTTTACTACTGGGAGCCAGGGGCCACGAAGTGGATCCGGTGCCAGGAAAGGCTGCCATTCACCAACTGGGGGCTCAGCGGCTTTGGCTGCACCACCATGAAGATCCCCAAGAAGCCCGTCCTGGAGCTTTTCCGAAAGACGTCGGTTGCCCTGACGGCGATAGAGGTGGTGAGCCCCTAGTTGGGCGGCTCCGTCGCACGGCTACCGGTGGTCTTTGCTCGTAAAGCAGTCCTAGCTCGTAAAGACAAGCGGCTGCCAAGACACTCTGATGTCATTTGTCATTGTGGCTGTCAAACAGAGATAAGAATCCTTTGTGTGTGGGGGTTAGGGCGGGGTGGGCTGCACAGCTTTGTGGGTAATTCTGAAGAGCAAGCGGCTTATGGAAGGCATTTGAAACTTGGAGGAGGGCAGGTGGAACGGGAGCAAGGGCTGCTTAGCCCTAGAGGACCCTTCGCTGGGGCAAAATATGAATTCAGTGCTAGTGAAAAACGCAGTGAGGGGTCTTGAAATGGCTTCTTTTAGAAGAGCCGCCAGTGGGGCTACTGGGAAGTTCAAAACACACCTGCTAGCCAAAGTACACACTTACGTCAGGAGACTATACAATGCTAGAGGTCTGAGGGTCTTTAGGAAGGCAGTCTCCAAAGCCTCCTTAGACAAGTTTCCCCACTGCGTTCTTTCCCTCTCTGCTCTGCACCCCACGCCTCTCAACCACCACTGGACATTCAACGCTGGTTCCCACTTTCCGTTAGTCCATCTGTTTTCACCCTTTTCTAGGTGAGTGCATGCACCGTGCATTAAGAAAGGCATGGGGAAAAGGGATGGTGATAAAAATGTAGGTATGGTTACATCCATCTAACTTTTGCCTTGAATTAAGCTAGGCTTGTTCCCAGGTTGTGTGATGCATGTTTAAGTCATTCTTATCTTACCTGGTGTAAGAGAATGTCAAGGCTGAAAGCCAACACTTCCACTGAGGGTCATGCCAGAATGGTCTTCTTGCAGAGGTATGCTGAGCTGATGTCCATTGCAGCAGTAACTTCATTCATGGATCTCCACACCATAACAATAAAATAGTTGGAGGTGCCAGTGAAGTTCTCCATGCTCAGGTGCAGAAGCAAAGGTCTGAACATAAGAACATGAGAAATCCATGGGCCATCAAACCAATGGTCCATGCAGTCCATTCACATGGTGGCAAACCAGCTTTCTACAGGCTCTCTCAAGCAGGATGGGTACAAGACCTCTGTCTGCCCAAGCTCCTCAGCAACAGGTGTGGGCATATCAGTTCGGATAATGGTGATAGCATATAGCCATTCAGGCTAGTAGCCACTGATAGCCTCCAAGGGGTGTCAGGTTTTATAAGACCTAAGACTTCCTTGCTGCCCCACTTCACCTGCTGGGTGTGAGGAACTGTGGGAACTGTAGTTCTTTTGAAGGATCGGAATTTTGAAAGACTAGAATCATAGAATAGTAGAGTTGGAAGGGGCCATGAAGGACATTGGGTCCAGCCCCCTGCTGTTGCAGGACACCAAGTCACATCATCCCACTCAGGTGGCTGTCCATTTTCTTTTTTGATGTATCCAGTGCGGGAGAGCCCCCCACCTCTCCAGGCGGCTGGTCCCATCGTTGTATTGCTCTGACAGCGAGGAAGCTTTTCCTGATCTGCAGCCTGAATCTGGGTTGTCGCAACTTGAATTGATTATTGCTTGTCCTACACTCGGACCAGCAGGAAGAAACCTTGACCTTCCTCTTTGTGACAGCCTTTGAAGTACTCGTAAAGGGCTCTCGTGTCCCCCCACTCTTGTCTTCTCAAGGCTCAACACACCCATTTCTCCCAGTCTCTCCTCGCAGGGCAGTGTTTCCAAACCCTGGGTCCTTTGTGTTGCCCTCCTCTGGACCCTTTCTAATTTTTCTGCATCAAAAAAACAGTGCAAGGGCTAGAGATCCTCGCACTGTTTGCAACATTAGCCAGGGCACTGGAGGAGAAGGCAGGAGTGGGAAAGAGAGGGGAAACCTCCCCCTTTTCTTCTTCTTGCTTGCATTTCTGCCTCGCTGTCAATACACAGGAAGAAAGGAGTCCCTTGGGATTTCGCTGAGTTTATTCCAACCAAAGCCCAGCTGTCCTTTCAGACATTTCAGACACACATCCGGCTGAGACCCACAAGGGGCTTTTCCATTCGACAACAGCAGAGATTGTCAAGGGTGAAAATTCCACTTCTCCCAAGCCACAAAAGCAAATGGAGCTTCTCCCGAGAAGCCCAGCTTCGATTGCAGGGGCATTACTGCACAGCCCAAATTTGCACAGCTGTGTCCAAAGAGCTGAACCCAAACATTTTGCTACAGAAGGCAAAGCCACAGATGGAATGCTGCCCCCTAGACCACCCCAAGGTCAGCAAAGATATTCTAGTATCTGAGGAGAATGCCATGAAGATGATTGTCTCACCCGCTGGCAAGAAAAATACGATCACAAACAATATGCAGCCTCACACGTGTTCCATTCTCCATTAATGCTCCCTCCCATGCTGATGTTATAAGGGGCTCTATCCTGCATGATTTTTATTGATGCATGTGGGGCAAGTCACATCAGCTCTGGGCCCCGGAGATCAGAACCAGGTGGAAGTGGTGGCTGGGAATACTGGGTTGCCTTCAAGAGGAGATGTCGGCTGTGGGCCCCCAGACCAGGTACCTTTCAACACACTGGCATGTGACAACGGATCACACTGGTTGCTGAACAGGGCTGCTAAATTCCACCAGCAGTTTTGCAAATGACAGCCAAGGCTGGTTAGGGTAGTGCTTGACTGCCCCCTGGGAGTGATCAGGAGTACTGCAATGCCAGGTTCCATAAAAGAAGCTGGATGGCAGGGGGTGTAGGTACCACACCCTAAGAACTGTGCCTTCATCAGCTCTTACATAGGGCGGTTCTTTTCCCTCACCCTCATAATGCTGCCATCAAGCCTACTCTTTGGTGCTCAATGATTCCACAAATACCCGATGTGTCATCAAACACCACACAACAGGTTTGCCTGAACGGAGGAAGGGCACAGAATGGAGCACCAGTCAACTTCCGTGGACAGGTCTCTCAGTGGCAATAAGCCTCAATTAAGAGATGGACCCTCCATATCCAGAGGTCCTGTCAGTCAGGGCAGTCAGGGCAGGCCGCTGCTCTCATGCCTTCTGGTGGGCTTCTCAGACCCTTCCAGTCAAGCACTGCCAGAAATGGGATGCTGGGCCAGGCAGACTTTGTTCTGTGACAGCGTCAAGGCTGTTCTTATCTCGCTCACTCCAGACATCTTTGTTTGGTCCTTCAAAGCAGAGCCACCCAGGCGAGGCCAGTGGTGGTCATCCATAATTTAGCTATACTTTATTTCCACACACTTGACAGATCTTCACTTCCTCAGAAGACAAGGCAGGGTATTCAGAGGCCGGCTAGTTGCTGATGGCAGCCACTGGAGCGAGAGAGGTACACTGGAAAAGCTGGAGAATGTGCTGCCTGGGTCTCAGCAGGGCAGAACACCCAAACCTGCTGATGCCTTCCCGGGGCACCGGGATTTCTGTGGCGGAGCGATGCCAGCGGGTTTCCCCAGGTTCCCAGTGGTAGATCGTCTTGTAGCGCTGGGTGAGGTCTTCCCCACCCAGCACGTAGATCCTTTTGCCACAGTAGGCCACCCCTGCATTGGCAACCCCCCGTGGCAATTTGGGGATGGTGGTGCCATGGCTCACTTTGCCCCCCTCATTGACAAAGAAGCATTTCCGGCTGCTGTGGCGATTCTCAGGCAAGAGGGCTCCATCTACCCAGTCTCGGGTTTTCTTCTCGGAGTATCCCCCGATCACGTAGATCCCGTTCTCCACAGCCACCGCTCCTGCAGAAAAGAATCCCGTAGCCAGAGGCACTTGGGTCCATGAGTTGGAGTTGACCTCATAGATTAGGAACCCTCGGTGGAACAACCAGCTGCTTGAAATGCCTGTTGCCCCACCAAAGAGGTACAGCTTTTCACGGAAGACGCTTGTTGCAGGGTGGCTTAGAGCAAACGGAAGCTTTGCAATGGCTGCCCACGTCTGCTTTCCAAAATCAAAGCACTCGGCTGAGGTGAGAAAGGTTTGGAATTTGCACCAGCCCCCCATGGCAAAAAGCTTCTCGTTGTGGCACAGGAAGCCGTGTGCGGCCCGGGGTGTATCCATGGACGGGAGCTGCAACCATTTGCCATTGAAGAAGCTGAACTCGTAGACAGCTGTGGAGTACGAATTCCTGTAGGCGCCACCGGAGATGTAGATTTTGTCAGCTGCAGAGGCACAGCATGCATGCGTCAAGAACGGCAGGCCAGGAAGCTTCTCCCACAGCTCATCCTCCGGGTCGTAGCAGCCCATGTGCACTTCTCCTCTCTCCAGCTCAGGGAACTCACACAGCTGGGTGTCAATGCACAGAATGTGCGGCTTATACATGCCCTGCCGGAGCCCCCTCGTCTGGAGCAACCTCTCCCTACCGTCCAGCCGCTTCCACTCAAGCCTGAGGTCCTTCCGCTGCTCCAGGTCCTTCTGGAGTTCTTCTTGCTCCTCTAGCGTTAAGAGCGAGAGGCGAACGTAGCTCATCAGCTGCAGAAGCAGGGGCCTGCGCTCGCTGGGTTCTGCCTGCACCCAGCGACGGACGGTTTGGTACACCGTGAGCTCAGAAGCGACGGCAAGGTCACTTGAAGCTATCAGGCTGATGAATGTGCTGGGTTCCAGCTGGAGGAACTCACCTTCCTCAATGACCCTTTCAAAGTTCCCAATGAGGAGTTGCGTAACAGCATGAAGCAGAGCACGGTTCTTATGAGATTGAGCCAAATTATGCATCTCAAACCAGTTCTGCAGAGAGAGATTTTTCAGCAGGAACCTGGAAGGGGAGAGAAGGAACACAGATGTAGAAGACTCTGAGGAATCTGCATGACTCCCTCCAGAAGATCTAGCAATGACCACAAGATACCAAAGATCCATTGCTAGCCTGTCACTCTCACACAGAAATACTTGAGCAAAGAGGAAGAGACAGGCAATGGACTCACAAGGACTGGAGACCCTCAGTGCAGTCATCTCACTGAAGCTAGGGCAGCCATGGTCCAATGAGTGCCTGGATGCAACACCATCTGGGACTCCAGGCGTGCCACCTTGAGCTTATCATTGCTGAAGATCTGGGCCGTGATGAGGAAGGAGAAGACTGGGGATAGCTACCACTCCTGGTGAGAACCCTGGACACACTTGGGTTCTTGGAAATCCCACCCGCGATCTTCTTGAGAGAAAGCTCTTCCTCCTTCCTATTCAGAACTTGCAGCAAGAGCAAGAAATTTCTTAGTCCCACCAGCCAATGGCAGAGAAAGAAGGGACGCCTCCTTTAGGCTCCAAGAGGGACAACTGGAGGCCACATGTGCCTTCACAGAATTGCTGGGACAACATGTTCAGATGTGTCTGGAGGCAACAACTGCTGACTATTTCTCCACCGGGAGCTGGCCAGGGTCCTGAATTCCTGTATCTACACCAGGATTGCATAACCTGCATTTCATTTGGGGGCCGACGTCTCAGTGAGGGGCAGATCCAAAGGCAAAATGGATGGAAGGCAGACAGGAATTAAAAGTAATACATAAATAGAAAAAAGGGCTCCTAATGACTTGACTAAGTAGTATAAATGGCTTTGCCCAGACAGTGCAAAAACTCTGCATGGTGTTTCCCTGTGGATTCAGCCACATGGAGGAAGTACCTTCGATCCAAAGCAGCCAGTGGCAAGTGGATAGGGGGAGTGGAAGTCTCTTGAGTCAAAAGCAGGTCCCTGACTATGTGAATCGTTTTCGGAAAGCTGAATTTCTCAGATGCAATTGCACTGGGAGAGATTCTCTCAGTGGAGGGAAATAAGGCGACTGTGGTAGTGAATCCTTAGCGGGTTCTTTCGCATGAAGGAGAATGTGTGTGTTTTCACAAAGGCTGGACATGATTTTGTGCTTGGAAAAGAGGGAGGGAAGTGCAGCTCCATCATGCCGCTGGGGAAGAGAGAGGCGGCGCTTACCTGCAGCAGAGCTTCTGCAAGGGTATGATCTGTAGCTTGCTGGCTGCTACAAAAAGGCACTGAACCGAATCTGGCATAAGGGCTATTTCCTCTGTGTAGATGTATTTAAGAATGCTTTGGACAGTCGACGGGGCCACATCCAGCAGCTGAACCTCTTTGCCATTGGATTCTTCCCAAGTACTGATGAAAATATCCCGGAAGTAAGGGCTAATCGCGGCCAGCAGAGCTCTGCAGCCAAGAAAGCAGGGATGGAAAGAACGGTTGAAGACAAACTGTTACAATGAAATACTATATCCTACCTACTCCTGTGCATGGCATACGCGGGAAGAGTTATTGGTGAAGAGAGTTACGCATAGACTTCAACAAAGACAGGTCAAAGAGCCACCTGTTTGCCCATTTGGAAATTACACCTACAAAGCACCCTTTCAAAAACCAAGGTTTCCATCAAGCCCTGTCTTAGGACCGGGGGGCCGTTTGTTCTTCCAAATGTTATAATGTCAGTCTTTCAGCTGTCAAAAGGGCATGGGAAATCCATTGGTGTAGACCTTGCATTAAGTTCTAAGATGCTTAAGTTGAATATTAAAGGAATTTCCTTCCCAAAATTATTCTCCTCCCAAAAGGAAACAGCAACTGCATTTTGCCAAAAGCTATGAATACAGGAGGGGGTTAATGCATTTTGCCTAGAACAATTGTCCAATTTAATCTGGCCCTTATTGAAAAGAAACTTTCTGATGCATTAAACATAACCTAAGACCTGCTTGCTTCCTAGTTGCAAAGTCACGTTTGACCCATTGCAACCCCATGGACAACATTCCTGCAGGCCTTCCTGACCACCACCATCCCCCGGAGTCCACCTAAGCTCATGCCGACTGCCCCAGTGACCCCATCCAGCCACCTCATCCTCTGCCGCCCCCTCCTTCTTTTGCCATCTATTGTGCCCAGCATTAGGCTCTTCTCCAGGGAGTCCTTCCTTCTCATTAGGTGGCCAAAGTATTTGAGGTTCATCTTCAGGATCTGACCTTCTAAAGAGCAGTCAGGGTTGATCTCCTCTAGGACTGACCGGTTTGATCGCCTTGCGGTCCAAGGGACTCACAGGAGTCTTCTGCAGCGCCGCAATTCAAGGGCCTCAATACTCTGGCGCTCAGCCTTCCTTATGGTCCAGCTTTCACAGCCACACATTGCAACGGGGAAAACCACAGCCTTGACTATATGCACTTTCGTTGGCAGCGTGATACCTTTTCAGAAATAGATGCCAACGGCAGTTGCAAGAGGGCTGAGAGGGATAGGTATTAAAGAAGCATATAATTTAAGAAGACAAAGAATCAAATGTGTGGACATTTTAGGACAAATAAAATAATTAGAGGAAAATTATATAGAAAACAGGGACATAGATATTTTAACAGTAATTCAAGCTAAAAGAAAAGAGTTGCAAAATATTGAAACTGAAAAAATACACGGTAATTTAATATAGTAAAAAAGTGAATATTTCAAATTTAGTAATAAGAATTCAAGATTGCTGGCTAGAGCTACACAACAAAAGAAAGCTAGAAATTTAATTGGGTTAGTTAAAGATGAGAGTGGTAAACAGTGTAATTTAACACAAGATAAATTAGGAATTTTTTTTAGATTTTTTGCTAAGTTGTATTTAAGTGGCAAGGTGTCACTTGCCACTTAAAAGCAGATCATATAAAATCAGATCATATCATAGGATAAAATCAGATTGTATCTAGAGAAGAATGTTGAGGGAAAATGACAACAAATGGATTGAGAGTTGATGGAACAATTAGTTAGAGAGGAGGAAATAGAAGATATTATTGACAGGTTAAAAGTAGGGAAAAGACCTGGGACAGATGGTTTAGGTCCAGAATATTATAAAACCTTTAAGAAGATGCTGATTCCAAAATTAAGATCTTTTTTCAATAGTATATTGAAAGGAGGTGAGACTCCAGCATCTTGGAAATACTCTTTAATAGTTTTAATCCCCAAACCCAATAAGGATTTAACAGATCCTGGAGCTTATATCCCTGATTAATCAAGATGCAATTTTTTTACAGCAATATTCACAAAGAGTAGTAGTTTTATTGGTAATTATGTGGATCAAAGTCATTTTATAATAGGTAGGCAGATGGCAGATTTGACTAGAAGCGTATTACGCACACACACACAAATAAAATCTGGCAAAATTGCATCAGATATTTTTAAAGCCTTTGATTGTGTGGAATGGCCAACAATAGAGATATTAATAGGATTTACTACATGATTTAGAATTATAATAAATCAGTTATATTCAAGAAACTTTGCAATGGTGTAACAGATTAAATATCCCTAGGCTGAGGTACTGGATAGGGTTGCCCCCTTTAATTATAGAACTGCCAGCAAATAGTATTAGGAATGATAATTTAATAGAAGGCGTAGGATTTGAGAATAAAATTAAGATTAGTTTATTTGCAGATGATACATTGTTAACCATAAAGGACCCAGTTAAGGTTATGGATCAGATTTAAATACATTTAACAGAGTTTGGAAAAATAATGGGTTTACAAGTAAATTGGGACAAATCAGAGACAATGTCATTCAGTTGTAACAAAGTGGAAAAGGATGAGATTAAAAGCAAGTTAGAAGTTAAGATATGTAATAGTATAAAGTATTTAGGAATAAATATTACAAAAATTTGCAATGTTTAAAAAAGAATAATTTTGATAAGTTAAAATATGAAGTGAAGGAGATAAATGGTTTTAAGAAGTTTGGTCTATCATGGTTTGGTAGAATAGCAGCATTCAAAATGAAGATTTTACCTAAGATTGATTTCTTGCTTATGATGTTACCAATTAAGTTAATAGAGAAAGATTTGAAAGAATGGCAAAATATGATTAATAAATTTTGTAACAGGGATAAAAAAAGCAAGGATTAATTTAAAAAAGTGAAATGTTATTATATAGATAATCAAATGATCAAAGGTTCAATTTGGATGCCAGGAAGCACTTTCTGACAGTTAGGACCCTGAGGGTGTGGAATGGGCTTCCCTGGGAGGTGGTTGAGGCCCCATCGGTGAGAGTGTTCAAGGATAGGCTGGACGTGCACATGGTAGGTATGTCATGAGTGGAGCCGGCTGGAGCTGGGGGTCAGACTAGATGGCCCGGGAGACCCCTTCTGACGCACTCTGTTTCTATGTTTCTAACTGAAGCCAGACATACTGCAACCAGATAAGATAATATGGGCTAAATTAGAATATCAAGATGTATAGGGATCCTTATTAAATATTTTTCTTCAACAAGATAATAAGAAGATTATTTAAAAGACAGGAAACGCTTTTAAAAGAATATGATTAAAATTTGGAATAAATATAGGTATAGGTTTATCCCACTGATTTTGCCATTATACGATTATGGAATTAGAAAGATTCCCAGTAAATGTGAGCAGTAATTTGAAGGAAGTATTGAAGAATCAACATGTTATTAGGTGGAAAGATTGGTTAGAGAAAATGAAGAGTAAACAAATGATACAAGCAGTGGGAAAGGGTAAAATGAATTGGTACAATATATTTCAATTGGATTATTGGATTCTTGGATCTTAAGGGGCAGGAGGTCATGTAGGGAAAGAAACATTCCTTTAGGTATCCTGGTCCCAAGCTCTTTAGGGTTACTTTCTCTACCATACTTTATTTTTACATTGAAATTCACAATAAAATAAGTAAGGATAGGAAAGGGTAGGCCACCAATGTCGACATTTCAGGCCTGGGGTGATGTAGTCAGAATACCAAGCACCAAATAGCAGCCAAGCAGCAGCTTTTTACACCAGCTGAAATTGCAACGAATTACCCACATGGTCGAAAGAAGCCATTGGTCATAGATGGCATTTCAGCCATCTAATTACGATGGATAACCAAAGGTGTGGATAATTGTCCGATGAAGCTGACTCTAACAGTTGGGGTTGGCCCTCTATGCAGAGATGTTCAAAGTCATCCATTCATCTAGCTCAGTATTGAATACTCTGCCTGGCAGTGACTCTCCAGGTGGTGGTGGTGGTGGAGAAGGAGGAAGGAGGAGGAGGAGGAGGAGGAGGAGGAGGAGAAGGAGAAGGAGTCTATACCACCCAATAGCCAAAACTCGCCAGGTGGCACGTAACAATTATTTCTTGCTACCTGCTTCCTCAAGCCTTTCTATGTTTAACTGGAGAGGAATCCAAGACCTTCTGGTTCAGAAATATCACGGCCTACCTGTGGCAAGGGAAGCTCTGTCCTTCAGTGATAAGAGTGACATCACAGAGCAGCTCTTCATGGTACATCTCAGCCAGGCCTGGGGGCAAGGAGACAGAATTTCAGGAGTGCATGAGTATCAGGAGATCTGACAGAAGCAAGATAGCCTCAGATCAAAGGAATAACCAGTTGCAACTTGTCCACCAAGAGCTGCATTTCCTCCAGTATTTTCACGGCTTCTCCAACTGTCAAGCCCTCACATGTTTTGAAGAGCCATCTGCTCCCACTTGAACCTGACTTGCTAAGAATCCTCAGCAGAAATGCTTCAGGAATGGGCTTCCATGAGGGGTCGTTGAGGCCCCATCGGTGCGGGTGTTCAAAGATAGGCTGGACGTCCACATGGTGGGCATGTCGTGAGTGGAGCCGGCTGGTGCCGGGGGTCAGATTAGATGGCCCGGGAGACCCCTTCTGACTCGCTCTGTTTCTATGTTTCTATGTTTCTCTTTATTCCTCTGCCTGTAAGGTGAGGAGAGTTGGGTGCCAACAGAATCAGGGCCTTTTCTGTTACAGTGAGTGGTTAACTGCTCACCCCATTTCCTCTGTTATGGGAATACTCAGCCATATTTCTACCTGAATGCTAGTTACTATTCCTAAATGCAAATTGTTGTCTTCTGTTAGCACCACTGGTGATAGCAAGGCTCCCGTGATCGCCCTCTGCTGTACCGAGCATTGTAGCCATGGAAGGAGCACTGGGGTTCCTTACCTTGCTTTAGGCCCAGGGGCCGTGGCTTGAGTGTTGCTGGCTGCCCCCTTCTATGGCTAGAGCTCATGATCCGCAGATTAGGATAAGGTGGATAAGAGAGGAAGGGACAGTGACAATTCCTGCAAGACAGACAGAAAACGACGGTACAGGCACTGGGCCATGCCTGTTGGAGAGCTAAAGCAGCGTTCTAAGTTAATCAAGTAATTAGAACATTTGACCACGGTTTTGACACATCTTAGAAAGGGAATGGGTCGGATTCAGAGAAGAATGAGTGGAACTCTCTTTTATGGCTCTTTCTTTCCATCTAAGCCCCTGCCTCGTCCCAGAGGCACCCCAGAAGTCATCTTCTAAGGCTGGAAGCCTGTGTAGGTTTAGATAGAAGGCCAGTCATTCGCTGCACCCTCAGGCTACGTAGCTGTGCTGAGAGTAACAGCACTCAGGCGGACCATCAGGGTCGTTCTGGCAGCTTGGGAAGTCAGGATAACCTACCCTGGTATGAATGACATAGTAGCAGAGTTGGAAGGGATTCATAAGGCCAACCCTCTGCTCTGGTTCCACATGTGGTCACCCCTCCAGCTGCAGGCCCTCACCTTTCCAGCTTAGCAAAAGTGCCTCGATACACTCACATGGCGTATAGCTATGCAAGGAGGTTGCTTTATTTTGTGACACATGAACCCGCCCAAAGAAAATACGTAGTCTCCAACTTGCTCTTCTAACTCCGGTCACAATCCTCCCATTTCTTTAGAAATAGTCTGTCTTCTGCCAGCACCCTAGCTAAAGATACCCATGCTGCATGTAATTATTTTTGAATAAAAGATGGCGCCTCTTTCTCTGAGCACCTGTGTGGGGCGACAGCGTGAACTGGAGCGCACCGGTGGCCAGCTCAGGCAATTTCACCAAGGACCCGCACAACCAGGGCGGTGCACAGTTGCCCAACCCGCCTCTTGCCGTCACCCCCTGCTTCACTCTCCAGCTGCCCTTTCTGTCCTCTGTCATATCTGGGGTCTACTCTGAGGTGGCACCTGGTGGGAGAAGGCCTTTCAGGACACTCAGACATGTAGCCATTGTGACATCAACTGGTCCATGGGGCACAGATGAAACTTCCCATTGGCTGCAGCAGAATCCTGCCAGTTTCAAGAAGACGCCAGGGCTGGGTGCAGACTGGGGAATGGCCTTCCATCAGAAGAAACCCTCTTGGCATTTCTTAACAGATCTTCCAGGTGATGGAGTTCCTTCACAACTGATACCTTCACTTGGGCAGTGAGGCAGACCCAAGACCGACTCCTTGGTTGAAGCTAATGCTTTAAATCAAAGCCATATTTTCCTTCTTGTATGTTGTTATTATTGGATCAGCTTACAAGTATTACTGAAACAACCTAGAAGAGAGAGCAAACATAAACAGATTGGGTTGCGGCTTTAACGAACGTCCAAACAATGCCTCAGATGGGAAACATCTTGGATGAGGCACAGGACTCTTTCTTCATTGGAAAAAAAAGTGGCTGTAGCCTGAACACAAATCCATACAACACATGGGTGTGGAATCCAAAATGTACAGCACACAAGAGGCATCTTTGCAAATAGATGAGCACAGGAAAAGAAATAGCTAGAGCCTGCTGGGACTTTGGGGGTAAAGGCACTGGGCAAGCGTCCAACAATTCCAGAGCAAGGTGCTTGCTCTGGTCTCACTACCCTGGGGGATCTTTGCCATGCACGCCCTGTGTGCTCCCTGGGGGAGCGAGCGGCACAGAGCTCCAGCCAGCAGGCCTCCATTCATCGCTCTTAGCAGTGCAGTGTCTGCCTTGGAAAGCGGAGAGGGACACCGTGCGATTCTGCGGCGTGAGAGACTTGGGGGATCTGGGATTTAGTCCCCACCTGGCAACAAAACTCAACTGGGGAATGAGAATCCTAGAATAGTGGAGTTGGAAGGGGCTGGAGGGCCAGGAGGTCCCAACCCCCTCCTAGTGCAGGACTCCAAGCATCCCTCCCAGATGGCTGTCCAGCTGCATCTTGGATGCCTCCGGGGTGGGAAAGCCCACCACCGCCCCAGGCCATGGAATCCATTGTCCTCCTGCTCAAACAGCCGGAAGTTGTTCCTGATGTCCAGCCAGAATCTGGCCTCCCCTCACTTGGATTCATTGGCAAAATCTTACCATTGTTGCAACAGATGCTTAAAAATCTCCAGAGTTGGAGGTTTAGGGGCATTTGGAAGTTCCCATGGTCTCCCAGATGGGGGTCGAGGCCATGAGACTGAATCCCAAGAGGCCTTCCCCAGTCAATGGCCTGGTTTGCAGGACTGGGAAGCACAGTGGCTTCTCACAGTCTTTGACTGTTAGCCTAACCCACCTCACAGGGCTGTGGAGAGGATAAAATAGAACAGAAGAGGACCATGTAAAGTTGCCTGGGGCTTCTTGGAAAACAGGTAAATATAAATGTAATAATAGAGCCAAATATGTAACAGAATGTGTGTATTTATGGTTATAAATGCATATGCATGTACATAATAAACAGGTGTATAATAATAATAATAATAATAATAATAATAATAATAATTTACCTGATAATCATTTTTAATGTGCAAGCAAGCTCTGCACACCTTTCTTATTTTAAACTTCTTTTTCTAAAAATGGACTCCATTCCTAGTTGGGATGCTGATAAGTGAGTCAGACATTACCAATGTTCTTCCATTCAAAAAGGTGCAGAGTTGCTTTTATTTTTCATTCTCACAAGGGGAAACGAGACGAAACGTGGGGCTGCATGCAGAGAGACTGCGTTGCCACTGCTAGTGAATCGACTCATCTTTGCATTTCCTTGTCTCCTTTAACTTTCCTAAACTTTTCCTGGCCTGCCTTAACAGACTCCCCTCGGCAGTTTTGGAGGGACGGTACAAAGAGATCCCCTGGTCGGAGCACCTTTGGCCCTGCGGTATGGAACAGATAGAAACTCCTGAGCATGCCATGTTAAGACGCACATCCTGCACGGGAATTCACACTGCACCCATTTCCCCACTGACAAATCACTTCCCGGGCCGTATGGAACAACAATATATTTATATATCGCTGTCTGACACTAACCCAACAATAACATACAGTGTCGCTAAATTCTTCGCAGTCACGATGGGAGTCCGAAGACCGATTCTGAGGGATTGTGGCTCTACCTAGTTGGACAAGGACAACGTCTGGGATTGTCACTGATTTAAGATGAATGATATGGTGTTGAAGTATTTATTAATCCGAGTGGGGTTTTAATATAGATAATGCTTTATGTATTTACTTTTTAAAATCTATGTATTTATTGAATGGAGCTGGTCTTTGACTGCAATAAAGTCTGTCTGTCTGTCTATCTATCTATCCTGAACTTATGCCGTCTCTTCAGCATTTCTCTGGACCTTTTGCAACAGTAACATGGGATCGGTGGAGGGAACTAGACACACTAGGAAACATTTGGGGTTGCATTTAGGATTTTATTGCATTAAAAGGTTGAATTCATGGGTAAGTGACACAGTCAGTGGGGAATATGGCAATAGAGAAAATCCTTTTGCAAGGCAGATTGGAAGTCCGAGCGTTTGGCTAGCTGAAGATGGAGCGTGGCTGCAGCTTTCATCGTGAGCCCTTCTTATTTTAGCCTTTTCGATCCCTTCCTTAAAAACAGAAAACGGAGATTCAGCATGCAAAGCAGGCCTGATGCGTTTTGCCCCCCCCCCCCCACTTCCCTCTGAAGCTTCATTGATCACGCGTTTGATAAGTGTGCTGGCCAGTGAAAGAACGGTCGTTCAGTCGCTCGGCTTGCTGTGATCCAGAGGAAAGCTCCTGCTTAAAGCATGGCCTGATATGCTTTACATCCATGATACATACTTTATATGATACATCCATATATGCCCGACCGCCCCTTGAGATCTGTGGGAGAGGCCCTTCTCCGGGAACCCTCCGTAAAAGAAATTAGGAGGGTAGGTACTTGGAGGAGGGCTTTCTCTGCAGTGGCGCCCAATCTATGGAATGTGCTCCCCAGAGAGGTCCGCCTGGCACCGTCATTATTTGTTTTTCGGCGACAGGCTAAAACCTTTTTATTTAAACGTCATTTTAATTGTTAACAATATTTACTTATTTATCTGGCCAGGGCGACTTCTTTTCTTTTATAACTTCTTTTATATCATTTATATTTTTATTTTATATTATTAATTTTAATTTTATATTGTTATTTTTGTATTGTATTGTATTTTATTGTGTTGTAAGCCGCCCCGAGGCTTCGGCAAGGGGTGGCATAGAAATGTTATAATACTAATAATACTAATAATACTAATAATAATAATAATAATAATAATAATGCTATCGAGAAGCTCTTTGCTACCTCTAGGATCAGAGGCAATACATGGGTACACTGGTTGCTGGGGCACATGGGCAAGAGAGTGCTGCAGCTGTCATGTTTGGTTGGTGGGTTTCCTGCTGAACCATCCGGTTGGCCGCTGTGTGCATTCAGTGCTGCACTAGATGGACCCTTGCTCGATCCAGCAGAGCTCTTCATTTGCTCTTCAATGAAGGGAGGCTGCTAGTCCTCATTGAAATAGGCAACCTCCAGTGTCAGAGGCAGCGTGCCTGTGGAAACCAGTTTCTGGGGAGCATGGGTGGGGATGATGGTGCTCTTGGGAGTGGGGAATGTTGACTCCTATTTGGGAATTTCCCTGCAGGTGGCTGGTTGGCAAATGCATGAACTGAATGCTGGCCTACATGGATCCTAGGACTCAATGTTTTTATCTTTACATTCAGGTAAAAGTGGCTTTGATCCTGAATCATCTTGACTGCTGAACAGAGAAAAAATTCCCTCTTGGTGCGTCATGGCATTCATAGACCTGGTGAAAAACTTTGTGAGACACCACTGACATTTAATCCTCAGTTTGTCAAAGGCATAAAATCTAATGAGATGCACTTGCTTGCCTTAATTTGTTGAAGCTCTCATCCATACCAGAAACAGGTTGACTTAGACTGAGTCATGTTTAGAGTCGACCCACGGAAATCAGTGGGGCAAGCTACTCATGACTAGTTTAATTTCCTTTGATTTATATGGGTTAACCAAGATTATGTCCACCTAATTTAGACCACGAACCACTTCACCCTAAAACCCACTGAACTCAATGAGACTTAACACGGAATAGATATGCATGTTATTGTACTATTAATGGCTAACATAGGTCCTTTGGGACTAAGCTTAACTAAGCGTGCTAGGTACAACATGGGCGTGGGGAATGTCTGGTCTTATAGATGCTCCTGCACTGCAATTCCCATCAGCCCAAGCTAACTTCCCCAATAGTGGAAGAAAGAGAGAAGAGGGAAATTGCAATCCAGCATCATCTGGGACCTTGGAATACTCCTATCATCATATTAAATTAGGGAATTTAAAACAGATAGAATGGAGACTTCCCTGAAGAAATGGGGCAATGCAAAATTCAAGTGGCAAGATGTTGGGAAGGATTCCTACAGCTATCCAGGACCCCAAAAGCAAACTGGCATGGACGATGGAAGGTGCATTAACGGCCCTCTCAATGCTGGCTCCGCATGGCGCATCCCCAGTGGTACAAGCAAAGAAGAACCCAACCTTGATGGCCTCCACACTCACCTGTACAAAAGCTGCCTGTGCAGGTGAATCGCACCTTGTAGTCACGGCAGGAGACCCCCTTTCCCTGGTGGGCGTTGACACAAGCAAACCCATGGACCACATCATTCCTGATCAGCACACCAGAGAAGAACGAGGTTAAAAGCATCACCGTCGGACGCAAGAGAGTGCCCAACTCAATGCCCTTTATCAGCGGCACATGATGTTCAGACATGGCAGCCATCAGACCCAGCTGGTTGGACCTGTTCTGCCTTAGTATTTGAGGACTTCTTGGGCTAGGATGCATTGCAAAAGTTACTCTGAAGTCGGCACATGTATCTTTGAGGCCAAAGGCCTGCTATGCTTTTTCTTCTGTTAGAAGCCAGTACGAACAGCTCTTGCATGGCCCCCATACTCAGTCGGTGAGACCCAGATGAAAGAGGCAATTCTAGGCATGTATAGACAGAAAAGGGCCTACAATATGGGAACTGCAGGCCTTGTTTCTGCCTAAACATGCACAAAATTGCATTTTTGAATACACATGCTTTAGTTCAATTGACCATCTTAAATCCTGTTATTTCCAGGGAGACTGAAGTTTGACTGGCAGTCTAGACTTAGCCCATTCCTCTAGGCAAATAGAATTGGTGACCTCCAAAAACTTGCAAACCCCGTCCAACCAGTGGCAGCAATGAACAGAGCAACAGACTTAGCACACTATGATCCATCTTGCCTCTGCCGCCCCGCCTTAAAAAGCAGCGTTGTATCACCGACCTTCACCAGACTAACCTACCAAAGCACTTTATGTATTTGCTGAGTGTCTCTCATCCACAGGGTGGGATGCAGTCCATGCAAGCAATTCAGCCCGAGCGAAACAAGAAACAAAACTATGATCTACGGCCCAGGATATTGGACACGTTCACGAGGAAGGAGGGCTACTGGCCTCGCTTGGCCAACGGCAGCCCGTCTGCACTCACCAGTTGCTGAGCAGCCTGGGCAGGAGGGGGTCTTGCCCCCACCCTGCTTGGGGGACCTGTGAGCAGCTGGTTTGCCACCATGTGCATGGACCAGATGGACCCTTGTTCTGATCCCGCAGGCTTCCCGCTTACTTAAAAGCAGCAATGGTTTTAAGCTGGCACCAAACTGAAGCCAAGATCAGCACCACTGCGAGGCGTCCCATCATCAGGGTGCCATGCGTGAGAAGCCCCCTTTTCCCATACCCCACCTCCCCAAAGAAGCATGCATATATGCCCTCCCGCCCCTTGAGATCAGCAACGGATGCCCTTCTCCGGGAACCCTCTGTGAATGATATCAGGAGGGTGAGTACCCGGAGGAGGGCCTTCTCTGCGGTGGCGCCCCACCTATGGAATGTGCTCCCCAGAGAGGTCCGCCTGGCACCGTCGTTATTTGTTTTTCGGCGCCAGGCTAAGACCTTTTTATTTAAAACTTATTTTAATTGTTAAATTATTGAATTAATTAGGATTTTAAAATTTTTAGCAGAGAATGCACCGGGGGTTTTTTAAACGTTTTTTTAAATTGTTTTATTATTATTATTTATGTATGTTTCTATGTATTCTTTGTGAGCCGCCCTTAGGCTTTGTTGCGATGGGGGTGGCATAGAAATGCTATAAATAAATAAATGCAAAGAAAAGCTCGCTTGCAACTCTTGGTAGACCTGGTGTCCATGCACAACCAGAGATGTCCTGTCAGAACTTCTCCAAGTGCTTTGAATGTTACCGCTTGCATCCTGAATTCTGCCCAGAATCATCAGCAAACCAGGTCTGTGTCTTTCCACATGCTTTGAATATTAGCAGCTGAGGGGAGCCCTGAACTATTAATCTGCTCCTGATTGCCATTCACTTACGGTGGCCTCTCCAATTTTCATCTTGTTCTTCTCATTTGTTGGCACAATAGGGCAGATTGCTAACCTGTGTGTACTGCACAATGTCTGCGAGAGGGAGAGAAATTGTGCCCTGCATAGCTGATCGTTAGAAGCCCTCTCTTTGAACAGCAGGCAGTGCAGAAAGCCGTCCCGGATGCATTATCCCCTCCGATCCCAACCCTTGACAAAAGGATGGGATCTCACCGGTAGAACTGCTGTCCGGTCTGGTCAGCGGGGATGCCGTCCACAGTTTGGACCTCTATGGCAATGGGCCTCTTGCAGACAGCACTGGGGTAGTTCTTCCTGATATAATAGAGCAGTTCGATGTCTCCAGTTTCCTTGGGATTATCCCGGTTTATCCACTTTGTCTTGCAAACTAAGGATCAAGAACACAACAGAATAGGGACCCGTGTTAGAAATCGCTGCACCTCACCCTCATCCTGGTTGCTTCTGAGTTTGTGGCCGAAGTCACAAGAAGGCTGACAATGGATGTTTCGTTAATTACCTGTTGTGTAGCTGAGCACAACTGTTTTATTTGTCTTAGTGAGATGGTGCCTGGTCCCATTTGAATCACCCTTTCTTTTCTGAAATTCTATCCCTGCCCAGTAGGTTAAAGGTAGGAAAGTCCTTATGGGTGTCTGTGATTTGCCAGCAGTGGGAGCGGGGGAATAGGTCTAACTGGAAAGGTTTAATCTTGCACAGTCTGAATGAGCACGAAGCACAATCACACTGGAGTAGGGAAGGACAGAGCTCAGCTTTGCCCACAGACCTCGCAGGATGTGGACCGGGTAAGACTGTGGCTGGGCTGATCATCTTTCTAATGATAAGGCCCCGGGACAAGGTAGGCACAGAAGCGATCTTGCCAAGGGCTCACATCCCTGGGGGGCCATGGAGCAAAGCCCCCTGCAGTTGCTTCTCCTCTGTACCTCTGCAGCAAAATAGTCTTATACGAAAAGGTGAGGAGGCAGTTCTCTGCCTGCCCCTGGGATACACTGGGGCATTTAATATGGGGGACCAAATGTGGCTCTAGGGAGCAGGATGCTGAAATTTCCGAGAAAACGTTTTCTCTGAGTTGGGTTCCTTCCCTGCCCTTGGTAGCATTTTCGCAACCCTTTTCCATTTTTATTTTATTTTGTCATTCTTCCCTCCTCCAGCAAAAAGGTACTAGGACTGGGACAGTGCAGTCAGCAGAAAATGGTGGAAACAGCAGAACAAGTGAAAAGAGGGAAGCTTTTCTCTTGTTACTAGTTGGTCAAACCCTCGAGAAAGGGATGGAGAAGTTTTTCACTGCCAGGAGCAGTTTGCCAAATGTCCCACTCCTTTTCTCTGCTTGCAAATGTGGGCGGGGAATTAGAAACAGAGAAACAGAGAGAGTCAGAAGGGGTCTCCTGGGCCATCTAGTCTGACCCCTGGCTCCAGTCAGCTCCAATTCTTGGAGGGGATTACTTCCTAGCCCTGTTTCCAGAAGGGGCTGGAAACAGACTGAGGGGTTGTGATGGGAATCCCACACAACCCTTCAGCAAAACCTTCCAGGCTGGTTGACCAAAATGCCTGGAGATAATACCAAATTTGAAGTAGTCTATAATAAATCACAGCACAGTGAAATGATAGATGTATCAAGAAGTTTGGGAGCCTAAAGTAGAACTCCTTGACTCTGGAAAGAGAGCCATGCTGGGACCTGGCAGAGTTCCCTGGGGAGGGAATTCTACACAGGGGTTGTCCTGCTCGCTCCACCCACCTTATCTTGAAGGGTGGGGCAACTGGAAGACGGCCAGTACAAACCCCCATGGCTGGCAAAAAGTCATAGCTAGCACAAGGTCAAAGCATGTAGTTCTTGTAATCCACACTAGTGTGGATCCAGACACCTTAGTCTTTGTTTCTGGGCAATTCAAACAACCAGAGTTTTCACTTTGATTTAACCCTTTACCTGGTATTGGTGTTTTGAGGGTTGTCTGTACTGGCACAGAGTCCGTGGATACAATGATTGTAGGCTCCTTCCTGGTCTGGACCTGTCCTACGGGGCAAAGATTAGGGTTGCCATTACTTCTCAGAACAGTCTTTCCAGGCAGGAATCTGCAGCAAAGAACAGAATCCCCACTGCCCCATTGTGTCCACATTAAGCTACCCTGTCAAACCAGCCCTAACACTGCAGAATTTGTGTGGGAAAGAAGAACTGAAGGTGGAGGGATATATTGGTTGAACGTTTCAGAGACATTAGTTCTGCACCCTTCATTCTCTGTCTCTGACCAAACAGGGGCTACAGGTTTTGAAGTAGTGGGAAAACCTGCTGAACCTATTTAACCAGCTGGAAGAGCATGGGCACCACAGAAAGCTATGCCTCACTTGTGTATCCCCAGACCATCAGGACCTACTGCTGGGTTGCTGCTTCTGTGACCCCCCCAGATGTTTTGACTTACAGCTCTCTTCTTCATTGATTCAGCTCAGACCTGATCAGAATTCTAGGCTGAAAAGACCACAACCTTACAATGACATCTTAGAAAATATAGACTGGGCCAGGAAAATCAGAGGACTGAAAAGACTGAAGACCCCTGCTCAAGGCAGCCACAAATCGCATGAGATGCTGGTGCTGCATTTTATTTTTCCTCCTCTTGCCAAATTTGTGTAAATTTTAGAATATTCTGTATACATGCTTTGAAAGGTAGCCTAGATTTGGCACCCAGATAGTTAATGTGATGGGATTATATGGATATGCACTATCAATTCAGCTCTAATTTAGCTTTATGAGTCAGTGGCGAAGCGGAATTGGATTGTCTGAGTGGTATTCCCCATTCAGAGTAGACAAGAGCCTTCCCAGTGAGAAAAGTGCACGTGCAAACACATGTACATTGAAAAGGGATTGAGCACGCTTATAAGAAAGCCTGGGAAGCTTTCTTATAAGTGATCACATTGCCCATCTAGCTCTATATAGCCAACACTGACTGGCAGTAACTCCCCTGCATTTCAGCTCTCAGGAGCCGAAGTAGCAACTTTCTGCTGCTGAGCCACAGCCGAAGCTTCACAGGTTCCAAGATCAACTTGTATTCCTGCAAGGCTGTTGAAGTGGGCATGTCCTGAGCGGAGCTGGCTGGAGCCTGGGGTCAGACTAGATGGCCCCAGAGACCCCTTCTGACTCACTCTGTTTCTAAGTGTGCTCCAGCTTCCGTTTATGTGTTTACGGATCTTAAATCTGCATGTCCCACCCTTCCGTTCAATGTTCCCATGGTGGATTACACTTGGTCATAAACCCCAGTGGAATTGACCCGAATGGATAAAACAACAGCTGACGGTGTTAGTGGGAAGAAAGCACAAAAGAGCAGGGAGGGATGAAATGAAAATACCGAAGAAATGCAAAGGTGATATGAACCCGCCTTCTATCATGCCTGACGTTTGGTGGATCTAGCATAATTTGGGTGGTCCAGACTGGCATCGGCATTCCACTTCATCCTGAACGAGACTTTCCTAGTCCCAGGTGGAGAGACCCTTTGCATGCAGTGCATGTACTCCGAGGCAAATTCACATCCTTCCCTAGACAGCAACAGGGGATACTTTCTGGTACTAAAACAAGGCATTTTTGTTCACCTCGTTCAGTGTAAGCTACTCTGCTTGCCTGTCCTGGGATGATTCCTTGTCCAAAACTCTGGAAAGAGTGGAACCTGGAACTTTCTGCCTGCTATGCCTCTACCATGCAGAGATGTCCATACCACTTCCCAGATCAAAGACCTGGGAAGCCTTCCCTTTAAAGCCTTCCTTGCTTGGCAAGCTTCAGTCACACTTCTAGTTATTGCTTTCCTCGGTGGACAGTATTTTTGGTTTCTGAGCCCCAGAGGGACTGGATGCTGTGGGGCGGTTGGCGGGGGGGTTGACAATCTTTCTCGCGGCTTTTCTGCTTTCAGTCACACCTTCCACCCTTTTGTATGAAGTACAAGTCAAGGCACTGTTTCTATTAGAGGGGAAAGTCTCTCACCATGATGTGGCATCAGCCCGGATCATCGTTGGCCCAACTCCCTGCAAAAACCCCACACTATTTTGGCAAGCTCTTCAGGTGCGCCTTACCTTCTGTGGGTCTTTGGGGAGATGTCTGCGTTGTTAGTACAGGTGCGACAGAGGTGAGTGGTTGACCTTTTCCTGCTGGAAATATTCATTTTATAAGTTTAGTTCCTATCTTTCACCACAGATGGGCCTCCGGGTGGCTTATGCAATAATTAAAAAAGCAGAACTATATTTTTTGTAGGAAAATCATAAATACAAAGATATGGAATGATACATAGGACCTGAATATCTGAAATAACGTTTCTATCCATACAAGTCTACCAGACCCTTAGATCGTCTGTGGAGGTCCTGTTCCAAGAGCCACTTTTAAGGGAAGTTAGCAGGGCCTTCTCAGTCACGGCACCTGATTTATGAAAGCAGCTCCCCAGAGATGTACGCCAAGCACCTTCTTTGTATATATTTCAGGTGTTTTTATTTGCAGAGTGTTTTAATTGCTGACCATTTAGGTTTTAATTCGAATTCTGACCTGCATTTAATCAGTATATTTGGTATTCTAATTGGGATCTTTTAGGATTTATCCAATCTGTGATGCTGATGGATGTTATTACCTGATTGGTACTCTGCTGTTCTACTGTTTTATTTTACAGATGTTTTAATTATGTGCTTTTTATGCATTGTTATGGCTTTATTATATAAACTGTCCAGACAGCCAAAAGACTATTGTGATGGTGTATAAAAGTGCTAAATAAACATCCTTATAAATTCAGTAAATCAAATGAGGATATGTTGGTGCATTCCGAAATATGTCCCCTCAATGGGGTAGAAGTGGATGATAATCTGGGGATAACCCACATCAAACAAGGGCAATTATATCTGAACAAACTTCTATAGGATTCTTTCCCCTTAACATCTCACTACCTTAAACCTTGCACTCAGATAATTAAGCATGAATTAAAATGTTATCAGAATATTAAAGGAGTAGTCATAAAATAATAATAATGCAATAATGAAAAGTAGGATAAAAATCAAGGAATTATTAGCTCCTCAATAAAATGTAATTTTAAATCAAGAGCCAAAGAGGGAGAACAACAGATGGAGAAGTTAAAAAGGGAGACAATTAAGAATAGAAATGAACTCGCTCTCGCTCTCGGCATGGAAAGGAGAAAAGAGTGAACAGCTGTGAAGATTCCGTTTTCTGCGTTAGACGCTTGGTCCACCTCACCCAATATTGTCAATACTGAGTGTTCGCAATATTTTCCCAGTGCCTGGAGAAGCCAAGAATTAGACCTGTGATGTTCTGCACAGGTGTTTGTCAAAGCTGAACAGAATTTGTCTCTTGAGCATTCATGGACTCCCTCTTGCATCAGCCCTGTTTGGAAAACAAGTCGAGCTGAGAGGAAGTCTGCAAACAGTCCCAGAAGGAAGGTTGCACTACCAAACTGGATTCCAGCCCTTCATCTGAAAAGGATGCAGCAGTACAGAGCACTGGAGTTATAGGGTTAAAAATAGGGTATCTCTTTCCCATGTAAAGGGGTACATTGATACTCTAAGAGGAATGGCAACTGTTTACAGAGGGAGAATCCCAAAAATGGGACAGGATTTTGCAATCATCTGAAGGAAGGAAATCTAGCTCTGTGTGTGTTTGGGCAGGTGAAATATGTATGGATTGCAGAGATGTATTACAGAATCTCAAAGATATCTGTATACTTCTTGGACAAATATATGGATGGGAGCGAAGTTATCCTTCAGTATCTGCCTTCTTTTAACTTTGCAATGCAGTTCCTAATTCAAAATGTTTGTACAAAAACAGCTCTGTGACAACATTTGGGTACAAATAGGTACAGTAGGGAAACTTGTATGGATAGGGATACATTGCAGAGAACAGGGTAGAAAAATAAATGCAAATTTTCTTGCAACCTCCTGCCTACAGGTGACTGATGCAGAAATCGGATAGGATGGACTTTGGACTGAATGCGTGCAAAACGGACTTGGAATGGAGGTGGGTGGACTTGCCCAGCTCTTGTCTGTGTGCTTGAGCCCAGAAAGTGTTGCTGCTTGAAGGGTGGTGTGAATGCCATCCTGGGTGTACTAAAATTGTTTGCAGTTGCTTCCTATTATGACTGCAGGCCTCGTTAAGCCAATGACCCACATCTGGCTTCATTCTTCCCGGTATGACCACAAACCTTGTCCAGGAGTTTGGGAAGAGCTTTGGGCTTGTTCCAAGGTGGGAGTCAGAGCAGGACTCGTAACTGGCTCCAGAGGTGCTGTGGTCTGGACTTGGCCAGCTGTGGAAAAAGATTCCGGGTTACATCCGGAAGGGTGAAACGCAGAGTGATGTACATGCCCTGTCAAGGAAATTCTGTATCACCCACTGGTCTGCCTTTGCCAGTTGTTCTTCCTTTCTGTCCACATCTGCTTCCCATATAACACACAGCTTGCAGAGTGATCTGAACTCCATGCTTAGCTCACTTTAAGATACCCGATCTTGCTTTCTGGTTGCAATTCTGTTACAGATGGGATAGTATTGGTCTGTGGGGCCTCATATCTAAGGTATGAGAAAAATTATATTGTCGCAATCTTGTTTCCTTATGTAATTTAGACCCAGGTAATATGCCACTGGGATTCAGAAGGAATTGATCAGGAGAATCTCTGAAATCGCTGGAGAGCCAGTGTGGCATCGTGGTTAAGAGCATGGGACTGGGACTCAGGCGATCCGGGTTCGAGTCCCCGTTCGGCCATGGAGGCAACTGGGTGACTTGGGCCAGTCACAGACTCTCAGCCTAACCTACCTCACAGGCTTGTTGTTGTGGGGATAAGATGGAGGAGGAGATGTAAGCTGCCTTGAGTCCTTTGTAGGAAAAAGTCAGGATATAAATCGGGGAAAAAAATTAGCTTCCAAGTTGGGCCATATTCAATTTGCTGTAGCTTTCATTTGCTTCAGTCATTCTGCATTTCTTTTGCTCTGCAGGTTCCTGACACACAAGATCTTCACCAAGATGCTGCCTTCAGCTTAGGAGCTTTGACTCTTGTGTGGGCATCCGAACAGCTCTTGAACACGTCTGGTGTTGCGTACGCACATACCTTTCACTGGTGCGGGTGTACTGCTTTGGACCAGTTCCACAGGGACAGACGGGGCAGGAAGTGTAACGCACTTTCGGTCTGGTGTGACCTGCTCTTTGCTGCCTGTGAGAAAAAACCCTCAGATGCTTAATTAAAGAATCCTATTGGCTTGCCGTCCTGTTTGAGGGCTCCCTGAACAGCGAGGTTCACCCCGGTGGGAATAAAATGCCAGGCGACTCCCATCTTGGACCTGATCCAGCACAGAGCCGTCTTACGCACTGATGCAATGAAACGATGCCAGGACAATGGGGCCACTCCCACTGTGTGCCCTCAGCACATGCATTGCCCCGCTCCTCCTCCCCAACCCTGCCCAGGCGGCCTTCCTTTGGGTGAGATGGAGCATCCGTTACTTGACCTGTAGCCTCCGCCTTGGCTCACTCAAGTCAGCCACGCTACACGGGCATCATTACCTGCTTTCTGACCGAGGGCTGCAGGGACCTGATAGCATGTGCGGAAGGTATTCCTTGGAGGTGGTTAGCTTACGCACCGGCTCCAAGTATCGATGGATGCTGTGGTTTATGGAAGTATCTGCCTCTGGACCCAAGAGACACCACCAGCGAGAGTAACAGGGGAGGGTATGTAGACTTGGAGGGCACCCTGGGTGGGAAGTATTTGCCCTCCTGCCCCCTGAGATCAGCAGCAGAGGCCCTCCTCCGGGAACCCTCCGTGAAAGATATCAGGAGGCAAAGTACCTGGAGGAGGGCCTTCTCTGCGGTGGCGCCCCATCTATGGAACACGCTCCCCAGAGAGATCCGCCTGGCGCCATCGTTATTTGTTTTTCGGCGCCAGGCTCAGACCTTTTTATTGAAACAATATTTTAACAATTTTTAATATCATCTATAGGTTTTTAAAATTGCAGGCAGGGTGAATGTGGATTTTATGTGCACTTTGCATTTGTGTTTATTTATTGTATGAAAGCCGTCCCGAGGCTCATGCGAATGGGACGGCATACAAAAATTCTAAATCAATCAATAACTAATATGCTAGGGGCTGCAGTTAGTCAACAAACTTTCCAAGTTCTGTTGTTCAGAGATGGGAGGCCCTTCAGTTAGAAGACGCCAGAGACATCAATTCTGAGAAAGGATGATTCAGGTGAGACACAGAGAATGAGTTACTGATGGAAGCATCTCAGCAGTCAGAACCCTGAAAACAGACGACTGCAGTCTTACCACTGCCTGTATGAAAATGCACGTGGATCTGAGACATTGCCGAGTGATGCAAGTTTAATCACAACTGACAAGTCCCCGCTGCATCCCTTATGCTTCTTCAGTCATGCCCCCCTCCCCAGGTTCTGATTTATATGGACACTTAAATTTATATAGATTTATATCAAGGTTCACTTCCCTTTGGACTTGATGGAGTGTGTGTAGAAATAAGCCTGGTGGTTGGCTGTGCATGGACCACTGAGCTTGGTTTTCCCTGAACTTAAAGAGCTGCATATTCACAGGGGTCTTGGCAACACAGCTGCCAAATTTGGTTTCTTTAAAGTAAATAAAGACTCCCTGCAAGAGCTCAGTGAAGACCAAGCGTATGATCAGTCACAGAACGTTGAGAAAGACCAGAAGTGGAAAGGAGCACATGGGAAGAGGACACGGTTGGCAGCAGGGTGGCCTTCAAGGGGGGTAAGTGCCAGGCCTCGCACTTGGGGCACAGGAATGGGTGCCATAAGTGCCGGTCAGGGGACAAGGGGCTGGAGAGCAGCACTCGTGAAAGGGACCTCGGGGTGCTGGTTGACTGCAGGCTGAACATGAGTCAGCAGTGTGACGTGGTGGTCAAGAGGGCGAACGCCACCCTTGGTTGCACAGCCAGAAGTGTGGCTTCTAGATCAAGAGAGGTATCACTACCACTCTATAAGACTCTGGTGTGCCTGCAACTGGAGTATTGTGCTCAGTTTTGGGCCCCTCATTACAGGAAGGATGTAGCCAGGTTGGAGTCAGTGCAGCGCAGGGCCACAAGGTTGGTGGCCGGTTTGCAGGGGATGCCGCATGAGGCGAGGATGAAGAAACTGGGTCTCTTCAGCCTGGAGAAGAGGAGACTCAGAGAGGATCTGTTGGCGACATACAGGTATGTGAGGGGGTGCCATACGGAGGTGGGGAGAGACCTGTTCTCCCCTGCAGAGGAAGGCAGGACGCGCTCCAACGGAGCAAAGCTCAGGGAACCGAGGTTCTATTTGGATGCCAGGAAGCACTTCCTGACAGTCAGGACCCCGAGGGTGTGGAATGGGCTTCCAGGGGAGGTGGTTGAGGCCCCATCGGTGCGGGTGTTCAAGGATAGGCTGGACATGCACATGGTGGGCATGTCGTGAGCGGAGCTGGCTGGAGCCGGGGGTCAGACTAGATGGCCTGGGAGGCCCCTTCTGACTTGATCTGTTTCTGTGTTTCTATGGTTCTATGTTGGTACTCCAAACATTTTCACACTGCAACATATTGCAGTTCTCACACGATTGCTCTTGGTGTTCAGGTAATGGAGATTATAGAATCCAAGGAGGAAATTCGGGGATTTTCTAAGGATCTCTCATTTGCGTGTGGGGAGAGGTTGGCTGGAAGTCACTTTGTCTGCAGATATTGGAACGGACAGGCAGGTTTTGAAAGAAGGAAAATCAGAGTGAGGAAGCCACAGAGATGCCGACTCAGGAAGCATTTAGTCGCCAGGATTCAACGAACTGAGATAAATGCTCTTACCGCAACAGAAGGATGGTGGACAGGTAAACCTCACTCGGTAGTCGTGGCAGCGCTGTCCTTTCTCCTGGAAGGCGTTGATGCAGGCAAAGCCAAGGATGGCATCATTTCTGCTCAGAGAAAAGTTGAATTAACCATCTCAGAGCAGCCCAGGAACCGTGTGCTTCCTGCAGGGCTGCATCTGCGTTCGGTCTGCGCACCTCAAGCCATGTGCTGCAGCAGCTGCATGGACCACCTGCCCATTAATTCATTCCATGGGTGTTGAAGCTCACTGAACTGAGCCCACGCTGTCGCTGTTGGCCCGAACGGGCTGGGATCAACTAGTTACCACCACTGGCATCAACCTGTATGTATTTATTTATACTTTCATTTGTATGCTGCCTAATTTTCTAGTCTCAAGGCGGCTTACAATAAAGTATGATCATGAAGGTCACTGAAGGAGGCCTTGCTAATTGTTCTGAGAACCGCTTTCTGTCTAAATTCACATACGATTATATTCTATGGTTACAACCTGGATATCGGATGGAACCTCCCATTTATACCTGAAGATAATCATTGGAGGTCCTTCCCTGGGAGCCATCTCTAATGGATTTAAGGAGGGTGGGCCCAAGGAGAAGGGCCTTCTCAGTGGTGGCCCCCCATCTGTGGAACCAGGTCTCCAAAATGGTGAGCCCGGTGCCAACCCCTTTGGTTTTCAGGCACCAAGCCATGAACTTTTTATTCTCCCACTATTTTAATGGCGAAATGTTATTATATTTCATATTTTGAGGCACTGCAGATTACTGGGTTATATCTATTGATTGTGTACATTTTTTATTTTACTTATTTAGTTTTATCATCTTTGTATCTTATTGTTTTATGCATTGTTATTGATGGTATTTATTGGTATTTATTGCTGTTTATTTGAAGAGATAAACTCACTTGAGAGCCATTAGACTAATTTGGTGCAGCATAAAAATGTGTCAAAATAAGTAAATATTCTAAGCTGCTATGATCTGCAGTCTTGGGTGGCAATGCTGTATCTACTCACTGAAAAGCCGCATTGAGCTCAGTAGGACTTACTGTGAGTAAACAAAAGCCTGTTAAGGAACCATGTGAGCCACTTCAGGTTCCTCACAAGAGGAAAAAAGGTGGGATATGAATGCAATCAAACACAAAAGGTTACAGTTCGATGTGCTTTACATCCTGGTCAGTGTGTAGGTTTGCAGAGTTTGGAAACGTTCTTGAATTTGAGTTTCAAGCAAATGTCTCAATGGTTTTTGGCTACTGGAAAGAAGTGGATTCGTCTGTAGTGTGCAAAATCCACGATACTGAGTTTTGTTTGCTAAATACATAGAAAAACCATGCTAAATCAGACCCCAGTTGAGTGGGGAGTTTGGAGAATATAAAGAACTTTCCTGATGCCCAGTCTCCTCTGGTTTCATTCCAACAAGATCATCTGAAGTTTAAAACATCACCTCGGGCACCAAAGGAAAAAAAATATGACCCACATGAAAAATCCAAACCAAGTCAAGCCAAATCCCATAATGGTCCCAAACCCATTTCACAGAATTCTGAAAGCTCACACAGAAAATTGTTGTCCAGTTTTTGAAGCTGGAGTCCCATCGAGAGTTTGGACTTCTATTCCCATTGGCTGGGAGCAGGTTTCATCCAGATGGTTGTCCACAATATCTTCAAGGAGCTCCAGATCTCCAGTTCCCTCAGGATTGTCTTGGTCAAACCAGCGAGTCCAGCAAACTGAAAGCAGCCACGGACGAGGGAAAGGTGGTTACTCAAATGAGAACATCCCATTTGGAGACCATGGTGTCCTCCATGGAGACGTATAGCTCCAGACCTACAGCTTTGAAATACTGAGCCAAAGTCATGGCATCATTACAGAACAATCCATGAAGCCTCTTTTATTTATAAAATTAGGTACTTGTCCGTTATCTCGGTGCCTCTGTAAGCATTAATCAAGAACCTGGCCCATGTACCATCTTCCTGGACCTGGTACAGATCTGCAAGGGTCTCCTTCCCACAGGCAAAATGATCCCGACGGGTGCACACCATCTCACGATCTGTACCTATAGACAGGTTTATAGGCGTGCACGTATGCACAGTAGACATTCACTCCCATAAATTGTGGGCCTATATAGTACGGCATTGCAACTCTAGATGCATCTGGACCCCTTTCAGCTGGGATATGGGAGTGAGATTACTTGGGTCATCTTGGTGGATGACCTACATCCAGTGCCGGATGGGAAAAACACAGCCTTATAACTCCTCTCAGAGGCTCCGGATATCCTTCTGGACCACTGTTGTGAAGTAGTGAATGAGCAAGCAGGGTTGGCTAATTCAATTTCGATTCATGGCTTAGAATTAGCAATATTGAATTTGTCTTGACAATGACTTTAATGTCAGTGCCATGCAAACTTAACAATGGTTCTTCTACATCTCAAATGGCTCTTCTACACCTCTCGTGTTTCTTGCTTACAGGTGTATCCGAATTTGAGCGCCTTCATTTCCCTTTCGTACCTTCCTGGGGCATCTGGGAACTACCTGGGGCAATCCTAGTGCTGGAGGAGCGCCACACAAAGACTCATCATTTCCCATGATGAGAAATCCTCGTTTAAACCAGGGATGGGAAGCCTCAAGTCCAGCAGAGGCACCAGCTGGGCCCCCTGGATTTCTTGGAGCTCTGTCCTCTTTCCCCAAACTGTTGCAGATTTGCTGGCTTTCCAGCTTCTGTGTAGTCCCTACCCCCGTTCTGGATGGTTCTAAGGCAGGGAGAGGAGGAGCCTGCTGCAGCCCGGATGTGAGGTTTGCCAGGCTGGTGAGCCTCCTTGGTCCCACTCTGAGAGACTCCAGCAAGACGGACAAAACTGGCCACCTAGCAAAACTGCAAAGCAGGAAGAGATGTTGAGATCTCCGATTCCTCATTAGATGACTCTGAACCTCCAGCTTTGGGGGCTTACACTGTACTTCTAGAGCTGACTGCAGAATCCATTTCTGCTTGACACCTCTTCATTGGCCCTCCAACCTCCTGTCTCTCTTCTCTTTGAACAAGACATTTTACGCCAGATGCCACACACCACAGAAATGCCACCCAAGGTTGCATCTTCTTCTACTTCATCTTCTTACCTCCCTTCTGACTGTCTGCACTGGTGGTCAATTCTGGTCCAGGTTGGAGTGTCTGAGCTAGAGGAAGTGTTGTCTCTGGTCTGACTGAAGCCTGAGGGGTGGGCACTGAAGAGGAAGGTCAGCGAAGAAATTCAGGATGCAAAGTTGGAAGGAGTGGGTGGGCGGTTACATAGAATCATGGAATAGAAGAGTTGGAAGGGACCATGAAGGCCATCGAGTCCAATATAAGCTGTCTGAAGATCTACTTCCTGCTGGAAGAATGCTTATTTCCTGCCAGTGTCCTCTGCTGTTATGCTTATATATGATATGTTGTGCTAATATTATGATAAACTAATTGGCCACTTCTCTCTTTCTCAACCAAAGGAAACAAGACCGAACAAACGCTCCCAGGATTGTGTTGGAGTTTGGAACTTTCTCCATCTGTCTTTGGTATGAACCGGAGACAGAACAGAGCCAGTGTTTTATCAAGAACATGTGCTGAAAATGGAGCTTTTTGGAGCCCATGAGCATATGCTTGGCACATGCTCACAGGTCGTCCAGATGCTGACTCTCCTCCCATTGAAGAAGCCCTTTATTCCAGGTGAAGCCACCTGCAGCAGCTTCCCAATGAATCTTCACCTGGGCCTCCACTTTTCTCTTCTTACCTCCCTTTGGACCCTCAGCACTGGTGGTTTCCTCTGGTTCAGGTTGGGGGGTCCAGGCTGCAGGGAAGGTTGTCTCTGGCCTGACTTGAGGCTGCGGGGTAGGTCCTGCAAAGAAAGGTCAGAGGTGGAATTCAGGATGTGACGTGGAAAGGAATGGGTGGGAGGGTTCAGAAGTGACGGAAAAGGATGGGCTTTGCTACTCATGTGTTCTGCTTGGGTGCTTACAAACTGAGCAAGTGCCTACAGCATGAATCTTCAATTCTGTCCAAGGAAATGGCACTGAATCCATGTCTCCCTGGAATCATAGTAGAGTTGGAAGGGGCCATGAAGGCCATTGAGTCCAACCCCCTGCTGTTGCGCGACACCAAGTCACACCATCCCACTCAGAGGGCTGTTTGAATGTCTCCAGTGTGGGAGAGCCCCCCACCTCTCCAGGCAGCTGGTCCCACTGGTGTATTGCTCGGACTGTGAGGAAGCTTTTCCTGATGTCCAGCCTGAATCTGGGTTGTTCCAACTTGAATTGATTCTTCTGTGTCCTACACTCTGGCAGGAGCAAGAAGAGATCTTGACCTTCCTCTTTGTGACAGCCTTTGAGGCACTTACAGAGGGATACCATCTCCCCTGCTCAGTTTTCTCTTCTCAAGGCTGAACATGCCCAGTTCCCTCAGTCTCTCCTCATAGTTTCCAAACCCTGGATCATTTTTGTTGCCCTCCTCTGGACCCTATCTAATTTTTCTGCATCGGCATTTGAATCTTGCTCATTCATCTGGGTCTTTTTAGACAAACTTGAGGCAGACTAGGGATGTGATTATCAAAAAGGCAACCAGAACACCATGACCAGCGCTGGTAAGTAGAAACTGGAGAGCAAGTGGCTGGCAGATCGGAACAGCCGCCCTCCAACTGCTCATCCTTCTTTTCATTCAGTAATTTGTTGTCCGGGGAATGATGCAAGGGGCAGCCAACTCCAGCGGAGTCTTGGCTTTCCCGTCTTTTCCTTTCTAATCTCCTTTCTGACTCTCACAATGCATGGTTGCTTGCATCTGTTCAGTTGTAACTGACTCTTCAATGCATCCATCCTTTTCCTTGATCTTTCATGGCCAAATCCATGGGGTACGCATAGTAGAACTGCCTGGTAAATGCCCCATGGCACCCTGGCCACATATTTCAGCCTCAACAGATTGATTCTTCTGTGAGTTGGCCTGCCTGTTAAGTCACACGGTTCCAGGTGCGCCTATTTCTGCATGATATCAAGGAAGGAGAACCCAACTGAACTGCTTTGATACTTTTCTGTTCTCACCTCCCTTCTGATCCTCAGCACATGTGGTCTCCTGTGGTTCAGGCTGAGGGGTCTGGACTGGAGGGAATGTTGTCTCTGGCCCAACTGGAACCTGAGGGGTGGGCGCTGAAGAGAAAAATTGGAGGTCAACGCCTAATACAGCCTTGGGAAGAAGGAGGTAGAAAGCTGCGTATGGTGGGCTTCTGCTCCCTGCCTAAGGAGGATCTGCTGGCTTAAATTGTGGTCTGTTTTCACACACACATACACGAGAGAGAGAGAGGGAATCTGAGCTTCTGCAACATGTTAGTTTCTCCTTCACCTATCTTTGCTATGAACTGAGGTCAGAATAGAGCCAGTGTTCAGGAACATAACTCCAAAACAAGGTTGATGAAGTGGGAGCCTTGGAGCTTATGAACACAAGCTTGACCAAGTCCACATGCCCTCCAAGTGGTGGTTCCACTTTTCTCGGAACACAGCCCTGATTGCTGGAGATGCCCAGTCTGGCTTCTTTCTCCACTCTCACCTCCCTTCGGAGTGGTGGTCTCTTCCGGCTCAGGCTGAGGCGTCTGGGCTGGGGGGAAGGTGGTCTCCGGTCCCACTGGAGCCTGAGGAGTGGGTCCTGCAGGGAAAGGCCAGAAATGAAATTCAGGATGTGGCAAGCAGGGAATGGAGGGAGCGCTGCAAGAGCCCCTGGCTGGAGATGGGCTTTCTGCTGCCCTTGGGCTCTGCTTATGTTCACAGAGAAAGGCGATATCACAATATTTTAACTGTTCAGAAAAAAGCTTTCTTGCCCAACACAAAGAGTGTTGTGAACATGTCTCAAGATTATATAGGTTCCATGTCGTCCAAATGACAACCCGTTCCCAGGCATGCAAACGGAAGCAGATCCCGGCCAAAGCATCACCCTGGCCTCCCTGTCCGTTCTTACCTCCCTCCTGAGTGGTGGTCTCCTCCAGCTGGGGTTGGGGTGTCCGCGCTCGGGGGAAGGTTGTCTCTGGCCTGACGGGGACCTGAGGCGTGGGTCCTGCGGAGAAAGGTCAGAGGGAAAATTCAGGGGGCAGCTTGGACGGAAGCCGGGAGATTGACTTGGAGCTGGAAGAAAGCTTATTCCTTTCCAGTGTTCTCTGCTTTTGTTCGGACAACGGCAATCTTGCAATATAGAATTTGTTCAGTTCTTCCCTTTCTCAGTTAAAGGAAACAAAACGGAAGCACTCCTTCCCTGGAGTGTGTTGGTATTTGGGTTTTCTCCTACACGTATCTTTGCTATGAATCCGAGGCAGAAAAGTACCAGTGTCTGAGGAAGAACAGAACCCGAAAACCGAGATCACCTGGCAAGCCAGGAGCTTGGAACTTAGGAAGTTCAACTGGACAAGTTCAGGTGCTCTCCAGATGAGGATGATTCTTCTCGGCAAAGGCATCACCTGTTCCCGCTGATGCAAATGGCTGTTCAATTTATTTTAGTTTATTTTTCTTAACTGCTTCTTTATATTTGTCGATTATTATTGATTTTATTGCTATTATTGGTTTTATTGCAATTGTAGATTTTATTGTATTGTTGTATTGATTGTGCTGTGAGCCACTGAGAGAACCTTATGGCTAATGAGGTGGCACATAAATCAAATCGAATCTAATCAAACCAAATCGATAAAAATCAGTCTTTTTCCATTCTTACCTCCCTTCTCCGTGGTGGTCTCTTCTGGTTCAGGCTGGGGGGTCCACGCTGGGGGGAAGGTTGTTTCTGGCCTGACTGGGCCCTGAGGTGTGGGTCCTGCAGAGAAAGGTCGAACTCAGGGAGCGGTCTTGGGCCGGAGTGGGTGGAAAGCTGCAGGAACAGCTGCATGGGGACCGCATGAGGTGTCTCTCTGCTGCCAGCTCTATTTTTATGCTTTGTTTATAATATATAATTTGCCCAGTTCTTTCATTCTTCACAAGAGGGAACAAAACTGAACAAATTTACCTTGGAATGTGTAAGCGTTCCGATCCCCCCCACCCTTCATCCGTCCTTGCTAAGAACTAGGGTGAGAATACAGCTAGTGTTGGATTGATTTACTATATTTTACTCATTTAACTCCTGATAAAGAATGGTACCCAGAAAACTGGGGTCACCCCTGACAAATTGAGAGCCTTGGAGCTGATAAACACAAGCTTGGCGAAGTTCGCACGCGTGCCAAATGGGAATTCTCCCTCTCCTGGATGACACGGCTGGGCCCCAGGAGTGGAACTGCCGCAGAGCCAAACTGGACGTTGGAGTTTGGTCTCTGTTTCTCCAGTCTTACCTCCCTTCTGAGTGGTGGTCTCTTCTGGCTCGGGGTGAGGCGTCTGGGCTGGGGGGAAGGTTGTCTTTGGTCCAACGGGGGCCTGGGGGGTGGGTCCTGTGGAGAAGGGCTAGAGGTGAGATTCAGGTCGCACCTTGGATGGATGTGGGTGGAAGGTGCCACGGCTGCTGTTTGGAGGTGCCAAAAAAGCACCTCTTTGCTGCCCTTGGACTCTGCTTTCATGCCTGTGGATAAAGTCCATACTGCGATATATTACTTGCCAAGTGCATTCCTTCTAAATGATAGAAAGCAAAATGGAATAATTACTTCCCTCGGATGTGTTAGTGTCTGGACGTTCTCCCTCATCTATCTTCGCTCTGAACCTGGGGCGGAAGGGAGGCCGTGTTTGAGCAAGGACACAGCTCAGAAAACAGGAAGACAAACTGGGGACCTTGGAGGCTTTAGACCTCAGCTTGAAAAGGGTTCAAAAGCCCTCCAAAATGCTAATTCCTGTGCTCTCTGAAAGCATTGCTTATTCCCGGTGAAACAAACTGCAGCAAAGCCAGTGTGGCGTCGTGGTTAAGAGCTGGGACTGGGACTCAGACGATCCGGGTTTGAGTCCCCGCTCAGCCATGGAGCCAACTGGGTGACTCTGGGCCAGTCACAGACTCTCAGCCCAACCTACCTCACGGGGTTGTTGTTGTGGGGATAAGATGGAGGAGGAGAGATGATGTCAGCTGCCTTGAGCCCTTTGCAGGAAAAAGGCAGGATATACATCGAAAAATAAATAAATGAAACCCAACCAACCTTCTAGTTCAGCCTTGGGGTCTCTTACCTCCTTTCTGAGCGGTGGTTGTTTCTGGCTCAGGTTGAGGTGTCTGGGGTTGGGAGAGGGTTGTCTCTGGCCTTTCTTGAGCCTGAGGGGTGGGTGCTGCAGGGAAAATCAGCGGTGAAATTCAGGATGCAGCATGGGAGGAAGCGGCTGGAGCCCTGCAGAATCTGGGCACGTTTTGCCTGCTGAAAAGGTGCTGAATTTTGCCCGTGTGCTCTGTTCTCATGCTTATTAGAAGACGCGTTACAAGGTATTTTAATCTACTTTTTTCTTTCTCAACCAAAGGAAACAAAACCAAGCAAATATTCCCCGGGAATGTGACAGCATTGGGAGTTTCTTCTTTGTTTATCTTTGCTATGAACTGCAGTTCAAATAGAGCCAGTGTTTGATCAAGAACAGGAGCCAGAAAATAGGAATGATGAATTGGGAGCCGTGGATCTTCGGCATGTAAGCCTGACAAAGGTCCAAGGACCCTCCAAATGGTGGCCCTTCTTATGTTTGAAGGTGAGGCAAACTCCAGCCATTCCCAACCAAATCTTCACTTTGGCCTCTGCTTTTCCATTCTTACCTCCCTTCCGTATGGTGGTCTCTTCTAGTCCAGGTTGACGGGTCTGGACTGGAGGCAAAGTTGTCTCTGGTCCAGCTGGAACCTGAGGAGTGGGTCCTGGGGACAAAAGGTCAGAGCACGAATTCGGGGTGCAGCACGGAAGAGGAACTTCTGTCTGGGGGTCTTGCAGGAACTTCTGTCTGGGGGTCTTGCCGCAATTGTGCTCTGCTTTGTGCTTATTATGAAAATCAACGTTGCAATGAATTAACTGCCCCATTTTCTTTCTTAAGGAACAAGAACAAGGCTGAGGAAAATTTCCCTGGATTCTATTCGAGTTTGGCTCTTTATCTATTTTTGATATGATCCAGGGGTGGAAACCTGACCCAGAGAACAGGTTTGCTTGCTTGCTTGTTTGTTTATTAGGGTATTTCTATCCCATCCATTATGGTTTGTCTCTGGACAGCTTACAATACAAAACAACCTAATAAATGCTTCATAATAGCACACGACTGAGGATAAAATCATAATTAAAATATTTAAACTTTAACAGGTAAAAAAAAGGGTCTTGACCTGGCACCGAAAAGCATATAACATTGGTGCCAGGCAGACCTCTCTGGGGAGCGCATTCCATAGCCGGGGCACCACCACAGAGAAGGCTCTGCTCCAGGTGTTCGCTCTCCTAACCTCCTTCAAGGAGGGTACCCGGAGCAGGGCCTCTGCTGCAGATCTTAGGAGGTGGGAGGGCATATAGGGAAAAAGACCTTCCTTCTGGAAAAAAAGGGCTCACCTCTGAAAAATTGGGAGCCTTACGAACTATACACCCAATAGTGTTGTCTTTGAAGATGCCTTCTGTTCCATGTGAGGCGCATTGGAGTGGGTCCTAATGAAGTTTCGGAAGTGGTCTTACCTCCCTTTCGACTCTCCGCGCTGGTGGTTTCCTCTGGTTTAGGCGGAGGGGTCTGGGCTGGAGGAGGGGTTGCCTTTGGACTGATCGGCGCCTGAGGGCTGGGTGCTGAGGAGAAAGATGAAAGGGGAAATGCAGGGAGCAGCCCGGGAAGGGGATGGGCCCCAAAGGAAGCCTGCCAAAGGTGAGCCTTTCCACTGCTGGTGAGCTCTGCTTGCAAACGGATGCGGAAACAGGACATCACAAAATTTATTCCAAGAAGCTCCTGGGAAGTTTTGCCCCTCTCACTGCTCAGGTGCAAATTTGTCCGAACTATGAAGGAGGGACAAAATACCGACAGTGTGTTATCTCAGGAAAGTTCCAATCACTCAGGCTGAACTACTGGCTGTGAATTGGAGAGCTCTCTTTTTGAAGAGTCTTTACTCCTCTTGAGGCGAGCTGCATGGCCCTGCGGTGAGTCCAAAATTTTCCATTTGTTTTCGTACCTCCCTCCTGGCTTTCCGCACAGGTGGTTTGCTCCGGTTCGGACTGAGGCGTCTGAGCTGGAGGTAATGTTGCGAGTTTGGAAGTCACCTGCGGGCTGCAAAGAACGCTCAGAGCTTGCTTGTTTGCATTCTTCGCTCTTTCTGCTGCGCATTCAAACTTTGGCACACTGGTATCTGCCTATCATAAATATATCTGCCTTCAGGTAGAGCAATTAGTGGTTTGTTTGTTTTTCAAGTCTGCAGAACTGATCTAGCGAAAATGGGGATATTTCCCAAAGGTGCAGGCTTCTCCTCATTTGCTGGCATTAGTTCTGCCCTTTGAATCTGCTTCGATGCTGCTGTTTGGCCTTCTGGATAAGACATGCTTTGGGTCCAAGCGAGGAATAAAATACTGGGGAGGTTTGTATGCAGAGGAAACTGCTGGCCAGATCTGCAGGAGTCACTGCTGGAGGTCGTACCCCCAAGAAGGTCAGGGGACCTAAGGAGCCACCAGGTTCCATCTGGCTGTGCATAACCATGGAAGCTGGCCTGGAAGCTCTGCCTGAACTGCTCATGGAGTACACGCGCCTTAGAATAACCATGCACTGCATGCCTGCGCTGCTTGAGATGGCAGTGTCATAGCCTTTGTCTTAAGCTCATGCCAGGTCTCTGGAGCAGAGGGGAAAGAGCACCAGCTGGATCAAGGAGAGAGAGGCACAATCTGCGAGGCTGAGGCTGACAGCAGGGAGCCCCTGGAAGCCAAGCGGTGGCCCCTGCAAAAGCACCCGCTCATCCAGGTTCCACCAAGGAGTTCCTCTGCTTTATTCCAAGGCTCCCCAAACTCTAGGGCCATCTTGCCCCACAAGGAACATGCAAGGAGGAAGGCAACTGACAGGCGATGGAATGTGGGGAGTCCAGGCTAGTGGGCTGTTTCTTCAAGGCTCTTCAGGAAGGTGGGCACAGCTTGGTCTTGGCCAAGAAGGGGGAAAGGCCTCCATTGACCTTTTGAACCTTCTTGCCTGGGTGGAGCTCCCTAAGCTTCTCCAGCACCTACCACCCCCCTGACTAGGCCTCCTCAGGTCTCGTTCATTGCCTGTGGTCTACAGGCGAGGGGTGCTATCGCCACTAGCTTCTCCTCCACCCACTCACTGGAACGATAGGCAGATGCAACCATCCTTGCTTGGGGTTGCTCTGTGTGGGAGGCAGGAGCCACAAGGAGCTGAGGGTCTGCAGGGCTTGTTTTCCGGGCCATTGTGCTTCCCCATTCCGTGGAGGCTTGGATGATTCTCTAGAACGTGGGAAGATGCAAGCCATGCTGAGAAGTTCTTAAGCACTCAAGAGAGGGTTCCTGTTCACGGTTATGACCTGAGTAACAAAAATGTCCCGATACTCACTAGGGGAGCAGAAGGAGGGTGGGCAACTGAAGCGCACTTGGTAGTTGTGGCATCGTTCCCCCTTCCCTTGCTGGGTGTTGAGGCAGACAAAGCCCAGGGCGGCAGAATTCCTGTGGGAGACATGAGGTCCAAAAAGGAATCAAGGATGCAGCCACGTGGAGCAGCCGAAAGCAGCACTGTGAGTTTGCAGAAGAGAAACGGGAGACAAGACACAGACCAAAGAATCTGGCAGCATCTCTTAATCAGAGAGTGCCGAGCTTTTGGGGAAAGGATGCCAGAATAATTAGCACAAAAGCCAGTGTAGCCTTGTGGTTTGGCTGTTGGACTGGGGACCCCAGAGAGCTGGGCTTGAGTCCCACTCAGCCATGAAGAACACTGGGTGTCTTTGGGCCAGGCTCTCCCTCTCAGCCCAACCTACCCCACAGGGATGTTGTTGCAAGGATAAAAAGGTGTGGAGGAGCACTAAGTCATCTTGGAGGAAGAAGAGGAGGAGGATATACACTTATTATCACATTTGTATGCTGCCCTGTAGCCAGAGGTCGTATACATGTGACGTAATGTGATGAAGAGGAGGAGGATGCGCATTTCCCTAATGAATTTGCATTGTTCAAACTACTAGGCAAACTGAAAAAGTTGTCTGTTGATTGTGTTCTTTTCTGACTGGTTTTTCATTGCTGTTTGCCAATCGGCACCCGTGTAAGAATTTGGGTCTCTCCAGCCATGCTCCAAATCAATAATCAAGGCATTCACGCTGCCTCTCTTTTTCAGCCACAAGGCCCGGATCCCATCCCACGGAAAAGGGGTGGGAAAACTTACAGAAAGAACGTCTGCCCAGTTTTGGAAGCAGGAACCCCATCCACCGTCTGGACCTCAATTGCAGTGGGTTCGGGGCAGATCGCCTCAGGATTCGCATCCCGCAGGTAAGACAGGAGCTCATAGTCCCCAACGCCAGAAGGACTGTCCCGGTTGAACCAGCGGGTTTTGCATTCTGGAAAGGAAGTTTGGGGGAGGGGAGAGGGAGGAAATGGCGAAATTCGGAAGGAAGCACAAGCACCTGGTTAGAAGCAAGCGACACATCCCGGCACACGTGTGTGTGAGAGAAAGACTGTGTGTGTTTGCATGTTCCATTTCATTTGTCGCATTTGTACGCCACCCTGTAGCTCACAGGGCTCTCTGGGTGGCTTCCAGCAGAACCACCACAAAGTTGCAATACACACCAGTAGACCTAGTTGCACTCTACACACCTCAGCTGCAATATGCACCTTGTGCTGCACCAGCAGATTGTGCTCTGCGTGTGTAGCAGAGGGTTCAAAAATTTTGGAAACTTGGCCCAGTCGTCTTCAGCTCTAAACCACGGCATGCGCATGCCAGAGAGGAGTGCCAGGCAGTGATGCTTGATTCATTCCAGGGTCGGGGCAAAGCCTTTTTATTTACCCAGTTTTTAGATTTTTAATTGCTAATTGGTATCTACATTTTAATTAATTTGTATCAAGTGCTGGCACTAAGGAGTTTTTAGTTGTATTGTTGATTGAATTGGTTTTTTGTGCAAATGGTCATGATATTTTTAATGAATGATGGTGCACAATTTTTTTTAGATGAATATGAGTCTCTCATCTCGGGCCACTCAGGTGCCAAATTGTGTGTGGCGAGATATGCCAGTGCACAGCACTCGGGGTGCTGCAGATGAGTCAGCTCCACACCCAAGCCACCATTTTGCATCTGGCCTCCACGGGTGAAGCGTCAAGTTTTAATAAAAATCTGGATTAGCCTGCTCAAGCCAAATTCCCCACCCTGCATGTTGCGATACACCTGCGTTTCCTTTTGCAAGAGGCCCCAAAATCCACAGGGCCATGTTACCAAAAGCAAATAAGTCAAAAGCTCCCACAGTTCTCTTCACTGTACCCAAGGATGCTCTTTGGCATTCCAATTTTCACTCCACCGTATCTTAAAAGATGTCAGAGTGGCCAGAAAAGGGTTAAAAGAGACCACTGTCACGGCTGTCCCCAGGTTACATGCCCCCTTCCCAAGCAGGATGGGTCTTTTGGTCATCTCCCCACTGTCCAGCTATGACCTCATCTTTGTCACCACCGGTCTGCAAGGCCAGCTGCCATTTTAATTTCCCATGATCCCCTGAAATGCTGTAGTGCCAAATGTTCCAAGGACTTGTGGGAAATATCAACCGGGGGATTGCTTTCCAAACCCAGCCCCTAGCCCAAATGAACCTGCAACCACAGCCAGAAGGAACAAAACCAGTGTGTCCAGTTGCACCGTTACAGGACATGGGACCCTGCAGGACCCCCAAAATGGCTTACAGGTCCACTGTGCTTACTGGCCTGAGCAGAAAGGGGATCCCTCTCCTGCTCTTTCTGTGAAATGGGTCCGTCTTCTGCCTTGCTGTTGCCCTGTCTTCCTGCTGTGATTTCAGGAGCTGAAGTTGCCAAGTTCCAAGAGATGTCCCCTACAGATGACCTTCTGCCTCTCCTGAATTTTAATCCATGCCATTTTTGCCACTGGGAAGTGAAATCCCTTATCCCTCTGTGCTTTCCTTCCTTACATGGATTTCTGAAACAAAGGCTGGGAAAAGTTGACCTGGAGGACGTGCTGGGATTGATCTTGGACATCTGCTAAGCTCACGGTTGATCACAGAAACCTGGGCAATCGGTGGCAGTGGAGTTAATTGAGTCCAGTGAGTAGGATCTCCTCAGCTTCTCTGGGCAGCCGCTGCCACCAAGATAGCACCCCCTGAAGCTTCACAGGGTGCCTTGGGCTAAACTCCCGTTGCCTGGGAGACTTCCTGGTAATACCAACTCTATGGGGCTCTTCTTAGCCCTGCTGTCACCAGTGAAGCCAAAAGGGGACATGGTCAAGTTTGATGTGCTGTCAGAAGATGGGCGATCACCCCAGAGGACCTTCCATCATTGCAGGGACTGCCTGATCTTTCTTCTCTGCCCTGGCAGGCTGGTTGCCTGACCCCAGAAGACCCCCAACACCCCCTTTGCACCCCAGCTGTGCGTATGAGCTCGATCCCATACAGGTCTGCACAGGCATGAATTCCACAGAGTTCCATATGGTTCAGGTAAGTAGGGACAGGATTGCAACCCAAAAGGAATGTGGGCGAGTCACCTCGGCTCATTTTGGCAGGGCTGCTCCATGGAGGATGGGGAGGGGGGGAGGAAAGGAGACGCAATCCTACCCCCCACCACAAAGCCCTCTTTGCAAAGGGCTAATCTTCTCAGAAAGTCTCCAGCCCCAGTTCCTCACAAGATTCAGCCAAACTGCGTCAGCCTCTCCCAGTAGGTGGAGAGAGAAGGAAAATTACTGACCTTTTGTAGGACTTTGCGGAGTCTGATGAGCACCTGGACAAAGGAGAAGTAATTGTGGGTGGCTTAGAACAAGGTGGGGAATAAAAATAGCTTAATACTGCTTGCGCACGTGGCTTTTCTTAAGCCAAAGGAAGGCGAAGCCATGAAAGGCGTAGGGCTCCGGGTTCTTCGCAGCTCTATGTGTCCCACTGGTGGGTCTTTATACCCGCAATTCACTTCCAGGTGGAATGCTACGCATATTTAGACGGAGAAACGTCCTGCAGCTTGCGACGTGCTGCAGCCAGCGTGGGCCTGCTTCGTGTCGACATGCATACAATACCAGCCTTGCCCACTCAGCAAACCCACGGATGGCGTTGCGTCTTGTTTGGAGCCTAAAGAAATGGGACTGCTGCAATCCTAGCTAGGACATGGGGTCAATTGGAGAACCTCACCTCTGAAACCTTCTAATGCTGAGCCCAACCACGGATCCTTACGGCCCAGTTTTGTGTCACTGACAGCTTGCCATGTTCCCAAGTCAAAGCGATGGCAGCTGGGCCCATGAGAGGCATGGGGGACTTGCAGCTGGACCATCCCAGATCAAGCCCCCAGCTGAAAGGAGTGCACTCTGCTGTCTTTCCCCCCAGGGCGCCTCTGGTTTGCTTCTGCTGTCAGAACCTGGCTGTTGGAAAAAGGAGATCGGAGCAAGGGGAAGGGGAAGGCCCTCTACCGTCAGGGGCTGGGACACGGGCGGCAGGAGACAAGGCAGAGGCTCCAGGACCCGAGGTAGGAGCAAGCGCAAAGTCCCAGGGCAAGGCCCAAAGGCACGTGCAAGTCACAGTCACAGAGCTGCCCAGGGTCAGGAGCCAGGAGCTCATGTCAGGGCAGGGCAAGGATGTGGTCAAGAGCAAACCAAGGGAGGACCCCCAGGGAGGCAAGCAGAAGGGCAGCTGACTCAAGACAGGATAACCGGGCGTGATGCACGGCAAGGGTCAGGCAAGGCGCAAGAGCTGAAGCTTACCACCTCCACCAAGCAGCCCATGTGGCTGAGGCAGTGCAGGATGCAAGCCAAGCAAAAGGCAGACACCGGGCCAAACAGGAAGACCTCCACTGCAGGGCTTGCTCTTATATAGCTCTTCCCCCGGGACTCCCAGCTGGAGCTTCTCAGGAGGCCGAGTTCTCCAGCAGAGCCTGGGACTGATCTTGCAAATACTAAGCTGAGCTTCTCGTTCTGGCCACCAGCTGGATCCCGAAGCCACCCAGAACCTGGCACCTGCATGCCTCTCTGACCACAGAAATCACATCCTTCTCTCTGCTTGAGATGTGAATGAGGCAGATCGCCATTTAAAGAACGCCCTTTGTTTCATGTCTACTGAAGCCTCCTGATTCCTTAGAAACTCCCATCAACGGGGAAGGGCAGTGCTGTGAACCTGGTCCCAAGAATGATAGAGAGAATGGAGCTCCCATGGGTCCTGCTTCTACTGACTCTTGGGTTTGTCTTCATGGTGAATGCCCTTCCCTCTCTCACACACAGCTCATGTAGATGGACAGCCCCTCTTAGGTCAAGGAAGAAAAATTCTTCCTGACATACAATTAAAGCTTCCAACAGCTGGACTTAAGGAGGAGGACTGTTCCCATGAACATGGATGTAAACATCTGGCATAGATCTGAACGTATTTTCCAGTAAGGCCTGAGCATGAACGTCTGGTGCCCTGCTCCACATCGCTTCTATGTTTATTTTTATTTACTTCACTTCCCTTGTCCAATAGCCAAAGCTTTCTGGACCTCACAATAGTGCAATGCAAAACACATGTGGAACCAGGGGTGCATTTTGGCTGGATCGGGAAAAAGGGTGTTACACACTCATCATACGGTATATGATGGAGTGCTTGGAGAAAACCCTTCAGGACAGAGATCCAGCTGCAACTGTGGCTGCATTAAACCTTTTGCAATTTTGCTTGCACAACACACCAGTTCCCTTCCTACTTGTTATGCAAAGGTAAAGTTAAAAGAGGCTGTGGACACTTACCACACAGGGAAAGAGGCAGGAGTGCCCCCAGGAACTGAAAGGAAAACACAAAGCGAGATTAAAGCTTTGCTATGGAAGAAGGGATAAAAAACGTGCTGCGTAGCTGCATCAAAGTCGTGATTTAAGGCATTTTTTTCTGATGTGCACATTTGCCCATGTATTTTGGCAAAGCACCATGCAAGTGTTTCCCTACATGTATTTATACCACACTTTGTCTGGGTGTGTTGCGATGCTTTGGCACTGGGCACATGAGCACCAGTGACATAGAACGGAGGCTGGATTCATGCGGGAAGAAGTGCGGCAAACTGCTTGTTCCTTGCACATGCAAATGGAACAAGGCATCCTAGAGGTCATCTAGTCCAACCCCTTGTATAATGCAGGGACTTCAGCATTGCCATCCAGCCTCTGCTGGAATAGCAAAGACGAGCCAAATACTTCCCAAGGCAGCCTGTTCACTACTGAATGGCTCATACCATTAGGAAGCACCTCCTGAGGTCTGGCTTCCTCGCACTTCCCACCCATCCCCTCTAAGCTTGCCCTCGGGAATGTCTTCTCCATCCACCGCTGCATCGCAGCTTCTCAGACATTTAAAGACACTTATCATAGAGTCTTTTCTCCAAGCACCTTGGGTAGATTATGCATCTAATGTTTTGCTGCACCTATGAATTCACTCCCTGGGGATCCAATGTCACAATTGCTTTGACTGCCCTTGCACCTCAAGGCCAAGATCATCCAAATTATTATATTCCTGGTCTCTATGTATGGGTATAAAAGCTGGACAGTGAAGCAAATGGACAGAGAGAAATGGATGTTTTCAAAACACGGTGCCAAAAGAGTTTTGCCAGGAGCCTGGGCTGAGAGAAAGATGAGCAAGTGACCCGTGGGTCAAATCAAGCCAGAACTTTCCACAAAAGCCAAAACAGGATGAAACTGAGGCTGTTGTCATTTGAGCATTTTTCGTATCTCTCTATATTCAATCGCCTATCATTTGAAGGCAGGTCCCCCTGGAGAAGACCAGCGTGCTAGGGAAGGTCAGAGGCAGAAGAGGAGGCAGGCCAGCTAGGAGGTGGGGTGACCCCATAAATGCAGTCACAGCTTTGAGTGTGCAAGGACTGAGCATGGCTGGCACTCATCCATAGGGTTGCCATAAGTTGGAGATGACTTCATGGCATTGAGCCAACAACAGAAGAATCCATCCATAGGATCTCCTATATATGCCATGTAAGCTGCTTAGAAAGGCCTTGGCAGTTATAGGCAACCTAAAAATATTTATTTATACATGTCTTTATGTATATGTGTATAAATAAATATGTTTATAAATAATATATATATATATATATATATATATATATATATATATATATTTAAGTCTTGGAGGCTTTCTCATTCCTTTCCATCCATTCAGAGCTAGAGAGCACACCCCCATCTCCAAGAAACGTCAAAGTTCTCCATAAGAATCACGGTTTTCAAAACTTCTGTGCTTGGAAGGGGCACAGACTTTTGGAGGCATCCCTTTGACTCTGGAAGAGCAAAACCCACAATAAAATCAAGCAAACCTCAGCATAATGATTTTTTAGCTTATCATGGGCAGCAACGTAATTTCTCCGAACAGTTATGCCTCAGCCCTGTCTCTCCCTGCCCTCCATTATTGAAACTTTTGCTAAAATAATTCTCCTCCACCATTATTATTATTTTCTTCTTCATCATCATCATTTGAGCATTGCAACTCTAGATAACCCAAGCACACTTTGATATATTGCTGGGCCTCTTGCTTGTTTCTTTTTTCAAAACCAAGGGATGCCCCAAAACAAGGATAGCTACTTTGGGGTTAAGAAAGCAAAGACGAAATTCCTACCGTGAACCGGAGTACCCACATGTCCACCATCGTGTGGAAGCCGCAGTGAAGCAGCTGCTTGCACCTGCGGGTTTTATCGACTTGGGGGCCTGCCGCCGAGCGTAAACTGAACTTCTGCCTTTCCTGCTGGGTTGCATTTCTGACCTGCTGACATTTGGTAAGAAAGGACCCTTTCCTGCTTACCCCATCGATCGCATGCTTCTGTTTCCTCACAATCACCTCTAGGGATGTTCAGCGCAGACTATTTTCCATTCACTGTTGATAAGGTCAAATGACAGCCAGGGATGGGTAGCATTTGGTCTTGGTTCAGAAGAATGCATCAAAGTGCACAGACACCGTCACTGAGAAATCTGAGGTCAAAAGAAATAGGAAGGTGCAAAGAAAGTGAAATTGACAGATTCATCCATCCAGGCTTCAGCTCTGTCTTTGGATAAGGCTTGTCACGACATTTTCTTTTTTCTGATGGGCTGCTCATCTTTAACAGCTATTTGAAGGGTAGATATAACATGGTTTCTCTCATAGTAGGGAATAGCTGTGCCTATGAAATTTGTCTGGTGCAGAGGGTGAGAATTTTAGTATTTTGCGATATGTTTCAGAAACAGGCAAAAAAGACCTTGTGATGATTGAAAACGACTGCTGCAACTACTCCAGAACCACTGGATGTGGGGGGAAATGAAACTGCCATATTTGTGCATTCCTCTTCACGGGATAAGCCAGAAAGGGGGTCCCACCCCTGTGAAATGGTGAGGGAATGTCGAGAAGGCCAGAAGCTCTGGAAACTGGGACTTGAGGTGCTCACTGAAGCATTTGTAGCCTTTATGGCCACAGAAAGAACCAGGCTGGCTTGCAAAGCTTACAAAACCCCCCTGGGCTGATGGGGAAAGACTCTAGGTTAATGGTGGAGCAAGTTCAGTTGCAACAACTCCATCAGGGAGCTGGTAAGATGAAAGGCCTCTGCAGGAGATCCCTCAGAACTGTGACCGCTCTGAACAGGGCAGAGCGAGATGGATAAATGATTGGAGTTGGCATAAGTCAGCTTCTTGTTGTGTTCTGGATGTGGAACACTTGCTATAATTGGTTGTGCCTTGCTCATTTATCACCGAACCATTGCCTATTATAATACTGGCCAATAATTCTGCTATTTATCTATTGAATCCTTGGAGACTGCCCAGAGAGCTCTGAGTTTAGAGCAGCACAGAACGTCAACCGTGAACTCGAAGCATGAACAGAAGTGGCTTCTCCACGGAGCTACATGCTCCCGATATCAGAAATGGCAGCACATTTCCACACACACCTTTGTCAAAGGTGGGCCTAATCAGCAGAGAGATTGCACGGCATGGAGCAATGGCCTTCAAGATGACACCCAGCATTTCCCTGCTCGTCAGTTTCCTGGAATTATTACTTACAAAGGAGATGAGGAGGTGCCGTGGCAGAAAAGGCTTTTCAATGAAATACCACGCATGTTTAATAGTGTTGCCAAAGCACTTCCTTCCTGAAGTAGGAACCTAACCAGGAACAAGCCTGGAGTGGAGGCAGAAAGGTGGGAAGCTGGTTCAGACTACATAAGATCAGCAGTCATAACTATTGACTTCACTGATGGACTGCAGGACTTTTTCAGCCACATATGGCGATGCCGGAGATTTGAACCCCTTTATATGCAAAGTACATGTCCTGTGACACAATCACGGCCCTTTCTTCAAAAAGAACCTCTAGGAAGATCAGTTGCTCTGTCATGCTTCTGGTCCATTGAACTCAGAGCTGCCGATGTTGACTGGCATCAGTTCCCCAAGGATTCAGAAAAGAATCTTTTAGAAACATAAAAAAATAGGAACAGAGCGAGTCAGAAGGGGCCTCCCGGGCCATCTAGTCTGACCTCTGGCACTAGCGGGCTCTGCTCTTGACATGCCCACCATGTGGACGTCCAGCCTATCCTTGAACACCCGCACCGATGGGGCCTCAATGGCCTCTCGTGGAACCCCATTCCACACCCTCGGGGTCCTGACTGTCAGGAAGTGCTTCCTGGCATCCAAATTGAACCTTGGCTCCCTGAGGTTTGCTCCTTTGGAGCGCGTTCTGCCTTCCTCTGCAGGGGAGAACAGGCCTCTACCCATCTCCATGTGACATCCCCTTTTCCAGTCCTACTTGAGATGTTGGGGACCATTTTTCATGCAACGCAGATGCTGTGTTGTTGTTATGTGCAGTCAAGAGATCTCTGACTTATGGAGGCCCTAGGAATGAAAGCCCTCCAAAATGCTCTTGCCACAGCAGCCCTGCTCACCACTTCCAAATTCAGGCCATGGCTTCCTCGATGGAATCAACCCATCTCAGCACTGGTCTTCCTTTGCGTCTTCTGCCTTTGACTTTCCCTAGCATGATAACCTTCCCCAGAGAGGATGGCCTTCTCATGTTGTGCCAGAGCGTGACAGCCTGAGTCTTGTCATTTTTGCTTCTGGGGAAAGTTCTGGCTTGATCTGATGCAGGACCCACTCTATCGGAATGTAACTGTTTATACCAATTTGGACTGCAGGTCAATATAGTCTGCCCTGATGGTCAATGATCCTCCACAATTTCACAGAGGAAACTTTTTCCAGTCCTACCTACAGACGACAGGAATTGCAAGTATGGTCTTCTGCTCTCGAGGCATTCCTGAGGAGGCTGACTCATCTTCCCTCAGCAGCGAAGCGTCTACAAAAGACCCCGCAAGCTAGGAGAAGGTGACGCTTGAAACAGAGGTGGGGAAAGAAAGGGGCCCAGCGTTTCCTCCTCAACGCCTTTGTCTATACTTCTGTTTTCTCTCTCATTTCCACTGTTGACATTATTCCTTATCACTTTCTGATTTTGGGACATATATAATTTTAAGACTCTAGCTCAGCCTTCCCCAACCTGGAGCCCTTCAGAGGCATTTGGACCCAGAATTCCCATCCAGCAGGGCCATTGACTGGGAATTCCAGGTGTGGCAGTCCAAACGTATCTGGAAGGCACAAGGCTGTTGCTCTTGCTGATTTAATTATTGGTTAAACTTTCGTATCAATGTCGCAACCATAAAAGCTTTTAATGCCAGCAGTGGGAAGAGGTAGAATTCTCGCCAACGTTTCTTCCTGCAATGATGAAATACAAAAATAATCAAATACTGTGGGCATGCATTTGATTTGGGAGAGATTCCAGAGCCAGGACAGATCTGGGACTAAGGTGTGACCCAAATAGATAAACAGGTTAAGAAGCACTTCCTCAAACTGTGGGACACTCCACACCCTTCAGCACAGAATCCACATTACACTTATTTATTTAGGCTTTTATATACTGCTCCATTAGCACAATGCTCTCAGAAAGGTGTATGAGAACCTATTAAAACAGTTTATGATATAACATTCAGTTTAAAAACAAATTTAAAACAAGCACACCCATCATAAAACAGCCATAAAACCATAAAATCCAACAGGCATGTACAAAATCAACAATCAACAAAACAATACGTAATAATAATAAAGTGAAAGTGCTTTTCCACATCTATACCAGAAAGAGTCTTAAAACTTAATATAAAATCAAATCATATATTCAACAGTTAAAATGGTGAGAAAATAAAGAAAAGGTTCTAATCTGGCACCCAGTCATACACCCTTGGCATGAGGTGTGTCTCCTGACCTTAGCTATTGCACCCACAAGAATCTAAGCTTTGCAACGGCAGTATCCCTATTCGGGCTCCCAGTTTTAGGATGCAATCAACGTGTAAGAGGTGGGGAGAGGTTTGTACAGTGGCTGTGTCTGCCTTCCTTCCTTCCTTCCTTCCTTCCTTCCTTCCTTCCTTCCTTGTACTTTAGGGCTGAATGTCTGATTAGGGCTAATGCGATGGGTGAATACTGGCCGTTGGGCAACTGCAAGCTAATTGATACTTTGTCTTGGGTTTCAGTGCAATAGATCAAAACAGACCCACAACTGCAAACAACATTTCCTTCCCATGACTCTCCCTTCCTGGTAAGCTCAGAGCCACTCCCGTCTGCAGTCTTGGCATGAAGGTCAAAATGCAAATGCTAATTTGTTGGCTTTTGCTATGATGGTTGAAGGGTTCCACAGAAAGAGGGGCAGGTCTATAGAGTCCATGGCTTTTAGGCCTACAGGATACCTTTCTTATAAAGATACCAGAATTCAGCAGTTCAGACACCACTTGGTTAGTTTTAAATACATTGTTAGGAAGACAAGCAAGAGTTTTGGGTACCATCTTATATCCTGGTTTGGAAAGTATAAACCAGTTTTCAAGATACCTATTAAGTACGTGAGCTTTCTGAAAATAATCACCTCACAGACCAAATATTCTAATGGCTGGTGTACCGTATAGGGGTGGAGTTCTTTGAAATTTTATGTATATTGTCCAAAAGACTGTGTGTGTTGTTTTCTGGAAGAACAAAAATGTTCACACTGATTTCCAAAGACTGAGAACGGGACCTTCGCTCTGAACTAACTTCATATTGTTGGCACATGCTGAAGGCTGATAGTTCAATTACATCACAACACTGCACAACCGAAGAGCACCTTGCCCCATATGCACCTATGCAGGCCCTAAGGCCATCTTCTGGTGTTGTCCTGGGGGCCACCCTGAAGGAAGTAAAGAGGGAGGCCACCAGGAGAAGGGCCTTCTTGGCTGTGGCACCTTTGCTGTGGAACAAGCTCCCCAAAGAGGTGCACCCGGTGCCTGTTCTCTGTTGTTTTCGGCACCAAGTAGAACCCTCCTTATTTTCCCAGTTTTGTAATAGATGAACATTATGGATCCTCAAGTCATGAACATGCCTGCAGTCCTAACAGGATCCAGCAAGCCAGCCTTTTCAAAAACATCAGGAAGGCATCGTAAAATAGACACACAGAGAATCTTTTCTGCAGTTTTTATCAATCTAGAGTGGCCCGTGGTCAATGCAGAAGGAGAGAACTAATGGCTGAAGCAAAATACACATTTCAGTCCTGGAACTAATTTTTAAAATTCTGCTGCTTAACCCAGAATTAAGAGGTAGCAAAGCCTTTTTACCAGCTACAGTGAGCCA